ACCTCAGCATCACAAAAAACAACAATAATAAGCAATGACTGAGATAATGGAACGAGCTTAAAGCAGGTATTATAAATAAGCTCAAGACCTAAAAGTAAAACATTAGAACAACAAAGAAAATTAAAAAGAATCAAATGGAAGTTCCTGGAACAGTGGATTAGATATTGGAGAAACAGAGAGTGAACGTGGAGACACAGCAGAAGCACAGAAGCAACCTGTGGGACGATATCACATGATCTAACATAGCAGTCCCACAAGAAAGCGGAGGTAAGAAAACACCTGAGAAAATAACAGCCCAAAACCTTCCAAACTTGCTGAAAATTTAAGTCCACAGATCCAAGAAGCTCAATGAACTCAACCACGATAAACATAAAGGAAAGTATACCAAAGTACAGGCAATCTAATCAAACTGCTGAAACATAAAGAACATAACCACCGGAATCCTCCCCTCAGAAAAGGACAAAAAATGGAGGAATTATGTTAAGAGTCACAGAGACACTCCATCAGAAATGATGTGAATGTCTTGAGAGCACTCTCAAGGTGCAATCAAGCCATCGCATGCAATGAAACTCCAAGAGTTGATGGCCAGCAGGCCTGCACTGCAAGCAATGTTAGAAAGTTCTTCAGGCTACAGGAGAATCATGAAATGAAGTTTTTGAAATACAAAGATTTATTTTTTCTTGATTTAAAAAAATTCTATAAATACAATTAAAGAAGAAATGTTAACAAATTGTAAGGATTGAAAGGGTAGAAACAAAATATATAATTGCAGAAAGGAGGGAAGAAAGGAAAATATTCTATTTTAAGGTTGCTGCAATATATATAAATTAGTAAATTATCTAAAGATAAACTGCTTTTTGTTTGTTTTGTGGTGCTGGGAGTTGAACTCAGGGCCTTGCACTTACACAGGCAGGTGCCCTACCATTTTGAGTCACTCTGCCAACTCTAAAGGCAAACTGTTAAAAGTTCATATTATACACCCAAAGCAGGTATTTGAAACATACATATATTCAAAGGAATATAGCTAATAAGTCAAAAGAGGAGCTAATGTGGTATGCTAAAGAAATACTGGAAAGAAGAGGGAAGTGGAACAAAAAGCAGTTGGGACAAAGAAAATAAGTAACAAGATGGCAGAGACCCAACACACTGATAATTACATGAAGTAATATGCACATTCCAACATAAAGGCAAACTGTGAGCATGGGTAAAAAGCAGGACCCAGCTAGGTGCCCGTGGCTCATGCCTGACATCACAAGCTACTCAGGAGTCTGAGTTGGGAGGATCATGGTTCCAAGGCAGTCCAGGGGAAAAAAGTTTGTGAGACCCCCTCCATGTAAATGGGAAAAAGCTGAGTGTGGTGGTACATGCCTGTCATCCTGGAGACAGTGCAAAGTATAAAACAGGAGGATCACTGTCTAGGCTGGCCTGGGCAAAGAGTGAGACCCTAGCTCCAAAATAACCAGAGCAAAAAGGAGTAGGGGCTCAAGCAGCAAAGTGCCAGCCTAGCAAGAATGAAGCCCTGAGTTCAACTCCAGTACCACCAAAGGGGGTGGGGGGAAGCATGACCTAATTATAAGTAGTATATAAGAAACTCTTTAAAAATAGATAAATTAAAAAGAAAAGCATGGAAATGTTTTTTATTGTATCATCAACGAATTGTAAGATAGCCATTGCAACTACCTTGTCATCTATCAGACAACAAAAACTTCAGGACAAGGAGTATAATCAAACAGGACATAGCATTATACTAAAATGATCAAACCATCAGGAAGAAATAACAATCTCAAACGTGTTCGATCTACCAAATTCTCAAAATACCTTAAGTTAAAACTGGCAGAATTAAAATAAATGATAAATTGACAATTACACTTGGACACTTCAATATTCCTATCTCAGAAATTGATAGAATATCAACAAGGGTATAGTTTATGCTAAGGGGAGGTCACTAATGGGAAAGGAAGAGTAAAGGAAAGAAGTTAAGAAGATGAATATGGTTGATGTACTTTCTACACAAGAATTAATATAGGATTTTTAAACCTGCTGAAATCACCTTAAAAAGGGGACTAAGGTAGAAAGGAGAAAAGTAGAAGGGATGAACCAATTCAGGTTATAATACATATATACATGGAAATGTCATTAGGAAACTCCCTGTACAGCTGTCTTATACAAACAAAAATGCCTTTTTTCAAAAATGGAGAACAGGAAGATAAAACAGGGCCTGTCTGGGGGTTGGTACCAGTAGGAGTAGGAAAGATATAAGGAAAGGGTCTATGAGGGTAAATATGGTAGAAATACCATGTACTCATGTATGTAAGTGGAAAAACGAGACCTGTTCAAACTATTCCAGGAATGGGGAAAGGGGGATAAAGGAGAATGTTAGAGGGGTGAATTCAACTATGATATATTTGAAATATTGTAAGAACTTTCATAAATGACACAATGTACCCCCAGTACAACCATATGATAATAAAAATAAAAATTTTAAGAAAAGGTCAATCAACATGACCTGACATTTACAGAATACTAGATCCAATAAAGGCAGAACACACATTCTGTTCAAGTACAAATAGAAGATTCACGAGCCAGACTCTTATGCTGGGCCACTAAAAATCAACAACTCAAGCATTTAGAAGTATTGTAATCATACAAAGTATTACTCTATGCTACTCATGGGTAATAGCTGATATTCAGCCCTGGGCAAATTCAGACAAAATTGGTTTAATATATGAAAATTAATGTCATATACTGTATAATTAGAATACAGAACAAAAAAAAATCACAGGACTACCTCACAGATGTAGAAAAGCAAATGACAAAATTGAACACCCTTTCATAATAAAACACTGAACAAATGAGGTATCGTGAATTGCTAAAGACCATTTTGAAAAACAACAAAAAGCCCCAGAGCTAATGTCATACTTAAGGGCACAAGACTGGATGTTTTCCCCAAACAGTCCAGGAAAAAACAAGGATGCCCACTCTCCACTTCCATTAACATTGTACTGGAGGTTCTAGTCAGGCAAGAAAAATAAAAGGTGTCCCGATAAGAAACAAAGAAGTAGAACTATGTCTGTTAGCAGTTGACACGGTCTTATATACAGAATATCTTTTTAAAACCAGTAAGTGAGTAAGGTTATAGAATACAAGTTCAGTAATAATAAATCAACTGTATTTCTCTACCTTACCAATTAACAACCCAAAAATGAAATTAAGAAAGTCATTTCACCAAGCTTGGTGGTACAGGCATGTAAGTGTAGCACTTGGGAGTCGGAGGCAGGAGGATTACAAGTTCCAAGACAGTCTGGGCTACACTGCAAGATCACGTCTCAAAAATAAAAAAACAAAAAAATGAAAAACTGAAAATCATTTCACATACTTTACACACGAAAAACTGAAAATAGAAGAATAAATTTAACAAAGTAAGTATAAGAAGCGAGCACTGAAAACTATAAAACATCACTAGAATACATTTAAAGGAGATCTAAAATGATGAAAAGACATCCTGTGTTCAGGCTGGAAGACAGCATAGAGATAACAATACTCCTCAGATTGATGAACAGATTCAATGCAATCCTTGTGAAAATCTCAGCTTTTTTTTTTTTTTGGCAGAAATTCACACGCAGATCTTAATACTCACACGGAAATATAAGGAACCCAGAGTGGCCAAAACAATTTTGAAAACAGTGAGTAAGTATTAAGTATCACCAGTATCCCAACAATAATCCAGAAACTCTAGCAAGGGAAAAAAGGAGTGAAACTGGATTTCTAAAACATCAACCACTTTTCTAAGTAAGCCTAGGTACAACCTAGATGCTATAGGACTTTAGCAACTAAGCGCTTTAGGAACTTACTACAAAAGTCATTATGGGAGTGTTAACAGCAATGCAAACCAGTGTTCACCCTTAAATATCTTTTAAACAGTTCCCAAATCATGTAAGTCCATAACACTTATTACAAATGAATTTACAGAAACAATGATAAGCAGCAAGCTAACTAATCCTCTGATTTTCTTTTCCATAGGAATTTTGGGTTCTCTATCTCTATGTCATTTGCTCTTGTCTCGGGTTTGGGGTTGGGAGAACAGGCTTCTTCACTACCTACAGGAGGAACAGCCACCTAAGCACTCTGGCAAGAACAATGACAAGTAGAAAAGTGTATAAAACCAGAGTATTTTCTATTGCTTTCCTTCAAGTATTACAAGCTGCTCTCATACTTCCTTGATTAGAATGGTCTTAAAGTTCTTTTCAACACCCACGTGGGAGAGATTTAACCCAATGGCTCTTCATGCAGGTTTTTGCAAGAGAACAGGAAGTCAGGAGAAGAGAGGGCAGTATCGGAATTCTATACTGGGGTTACAGAGGGTGGGAGTGGAGCTCTTGCAGGTGAAAAGCATTCCACCTCCAAGATGATCCCTCTTAGATTATCTGCATAATTTCAGAAAGCGCACACAGCATTAAAAAGGGGAAAGGTATCTTTAAAAACATCTGTAACATGCAATGTACTGGCTCTCATTCAATCCTCTAGACAACTCTAGGTGATAGGTTATCATGCCTCATTTTCTAAGTGAAAAATTAAAGCATAAGAATTAAAAACAAAATAGAAAGACAAAATGACAAATAAACAGTCATCCTTAGGTATCTGTAAGCAACTGGTTCCAGACTCTCCTCTCCCCAGAAACCAAAATCAGAGGACATCCAAGTCCCTATGTAAAATGGTGTACTATCTGCATAGAACACATATCTTCTTTTATTTTAGGCCATTTCTAGATTACTTACAATACCTAACACAATGTAAATGCTATGTAGTAACTGTTATACTGTATTGTTTAGGTAATGACAAAGAAAAAAGTGTATACATGTTCAGTACAGCCACAACCATCACAGGCCTAACTACATAGCTACACATTGGTAACATTTTTCTCTTCAAACATTTTTTTCCATCCATAGTTGGTTAAATCCACAGACGCAGAACTATGAATACAAAGGGTCATGTGTACATACCCGGTATTTCTAGTAGCAAAAAGTAAAGTCCAGCAGCATGAAGGCCATATTCTCGATACTGCACACTGACATTTTTCTTATGGGCTACTTGGACAAAATGGTAGAATAATGCCACCAGTGTACTATGAGAAATATTGTTCTCAATGAAGAAGGTCCAAATACTCTGAAGCGAGAAAACCAGAGCAATTTATTTAAGTTTAAATGTTCTACAGATTCAGAGCAGTGGGAGCAGGAACATAGGGAGTTTTCTCACTCAATAGATTGGAGAAGTAAACTAGGTAAGACAGGAAATAATCCCTAGAACACAAACAACAATTTTATTAATTTTACCATTGTCTCACACTGTCCCCATTAAGCATCCTGAAGAGGCTAGGCACTGTTTTTATAAACTAAACATAGCAGGAACTAAATTTGGCTCATCCTCGAGTACCTTTGTTTTGTTTTATTTGTCTTTGTTTTTTGAGGCAGGGTCTTGCCTTGCAGCTCAGGGTGACGTGGAGCTCCCAATCCTAACCAAGGGCTGGGATTATTGGCATACACCACCACACCTGGACTTTGACTATCTTTTTAAAAAAAAAGGCCAGAAGATTCAAGAAATCAGATCTGTTCTTACTGCTTCTCTGAAAAGAAAGGGTCAGTGGCAGGTAATGCTGTAGATGAGCCACACTACATGGATCATTCCACTTTACAGAATATTGAAAATGCTTCTGAGCTATTACGGAGGCACATACCCATAATCCCAGCACTCTGGAGGCTGAGGTTAAGAGGATCTCTAGTTTGAGGTCAGTACTGCCTACATAGCAAAGGCTGTCTCAAAAATAAAGAATCTTCTGCAGTTTCTTTGCTCCACTATGAAACTTCTGGAAGAAGTCATCTCCTCCACCTTTACAGAAATCACATCCTCACTCCTAATACCTCCACCTTCTACTTGCTGGACTGTGTAATCACCAGGGCTCTGCCTATAGGGTGTCCTCAGAAAGATCTGATCCCATGACTGCTATCTAGTCATGGCCCCAGTGACCTGCACTCCCTACACATTCCACCACTCCTCCTGTGGCCCTGTTCAACAATTCCATTTCTATCTTGCCTACCTACACCTTGAACTAGAAGACTCTCTCCTGGTCTTCTGACACACAGTTTTTTGTGTGTTTTTGGTTGTGGTGGTTCTGCAGTTTGAACACAAGGCCTTGCACTTACTAGGCAAGCACTCTACCACATGAGCCATGCCTACAGTTCTTAATTTCTAACCACCAGTCACACCTCTCAATGATTTCCAAACAGAATCTCACATTTAAAAGTCTGCAATGAAACTCCTAGTTTTTCTACTTGACCTTGCCCTTTCTCCCTTACTCAAGGTGGTTAATGTCACCTATCTCCTAGTTTTAAAGTCTTGGGGACCCTTAACTTCTTTCTTTCCTCATACCTCATCAGTTTAGGACTTTGCACCATGCCGTACATATCTGACGAAGCCTTCCTGGTTCACAAAGCCCTATGCGCTCTTAAAAAATTGCCCTAGATTTTAGTTTTCCCTCAATTATCTCCTTAGAAATCTTCCTGTGTACAGTCTGTGTACATCAGTATGTCTATGGTCAGGAACGTTTGTCCTAAAACAGATCTATTCATCCTTAGTCTATAGCTCACTATAACTTCTTCTACACAGAGTTGATTATGAGTTAATATATTCGTGTTTAGACAGAACTTCATGATAATATACACCCTATTAAAATTTTCCAAACTCCATAGGTGAAACTCACTTAAAGATGTGCGTGAGCAGTCCACATCCCTGTGTCCCATCACCCATTTTAAAAATTGTGTGACATTCATACCACACCATCATAATTCTCTCAACACTCCCTGTATATTCCCACTGTATGGTTTCTTTACTAGGATGTCCCACAACCCTAACTTCCGGTAATTCACATTCTACCCAAGTGCCTCTGGCTACTTTCTTTCTGGAATTGCCTCAATCCTACCAAACTCCTTTCTCCACGGCCCTATTAGATGATACCTGCACTTCTTCTGAAGTTTTATTTACCAGGTGATTCATAATGCATTTCTAGGCCTCCTACACTTATGGAGGCATTGAACTTCCCTTTCTGACTGTGTACCTGAACTTGCTTTAACCAGTGCTCAGGTGCCTCTGGGAAGACGGCCCTTGACTGAGGGAGACGTTTTGCATCTTAATGCTAACTCTGTCTTCCAAGGTACTTAATGTAGTGCTTTAGCATTGTGGTGAGGGAATGTTTCATTAGGAGATTTGTTTTGACCTCATATGTGAAACCTGTAATAATAAAATATTTTCTGTTAATTTAAATGCTTCAACAAGATTAGTATCTAACAATTTCCTATTCTGCTTCCTAGCCCTTTGGTTTTCTTGAAATTCATTTAATCAATAAACTCACTTGGTAGAATTCAATATTTAAAAGAACTCTGAATAAATTCATTTGTAATTCATCTAATCAATTCTCAACTTAATAATAATTAAATAATTAACAATAAAGTTATTAAATAATTACTAAAGTTAAGGTATACCTGAATTGTTATTTGTATTTTCCTTAGCATTCTTTTCATTTTTGATTTCTCTGTTTTTCTTCCTTGTTTTTACTTGTATACTTTCCCTTTAATTTGCTATTGTAAAAACATTCAGGTCTTAGAAAACAATCACCAGTAGTACCTTGAGTCTTTTGGAAGAAAGCTATTAGGACAATCAGAAGTGCCTGCTTTGTGAGCATCTGTTTTGCAAGCATAAAACCTTGAGTTCAAACCTCAGTCTCACCAAAAAAAGAGCTTAGTTTAGAATATAATGACTTTTATCTTCTCCTATAAATACCTAGCTTGGTTTTTAAATTTTTTTTTTCTTACCTCCAAAGATCCATGTTCTTCAGTAGCAAAGGGGAAAAGACTTTCATAGAGTTTTGTAAATGCACTCAATCCAGTCTCTATGATCTCTGCTTCTATGTTAGGATCCAAAGGCTCAGTCTCTGTGAAGTCCAGTTCCCATACTGTGTCTACCCATTCTAGGGGAAAATGCAATAAAATTAGTAAGTGCTCTAAAACAAGTAAAAAAACCTAACCACCTTTAGACTCCAAGTACATTCTGAAGGAGAAAAGTCACAACTCACATTTAACACAGTAATACAGGTATAGTATAAAAACAGTAAAGGTTAAGAAAAGCTCTTTAAAAAAAAAAATCATAACAAGGACTGGTGGAGTGGCTCAAGTAGTAAGAGCACCTGCTTAGCAAGCATGAGGCCCGGAGTTCAAGTGCCACCAAAAAAATAAAACAAAATAACTGACAGATGGCTATTAATCAGTTAAAAATATCAAGAAGGAAAACACTTTTAAGGGGAATGACCCTTGAACACAATTAATGATTGGGCTTTTCGGGGTTCCCCGTAAGTTCCATACAGAAAAGAGACCCATCAATGATGGCTTCACATGCTCCTTTGTGAAAATATCAGAACCAAGTTAATAAATACAAATTGAGCACATAGCACTTTGTCGGACCTTTGAATAATGATGCAGCATGTTAAAACAAAGATCCCTTTCCCCCAAGCAGTTTAAACTAGAGACAAACCAGACTCACAGAAATACTCAGAGGCACAAACACAAGCAATGGAAGTGTACACTGACAAGGTGGCATTCACCATGTACTCCAGGGGACTCCTTGCCAAGCTCGCTTAATGCTAAACCTCAGACAATTCTAACCAGCTATTTTTCTTGGTTTTGTTTTTTTTTCATTTTTATTCCCCCACACCTAAAATCAAAACTAGATTTATTAAAAAATGTGGCCATCTCAGACAAATTATGTCTGAATTAATAGTCTTCATTTGTTCACCACTGATTTAGAGAAGTTGAACAAGGTACGCATATAGAAGAAAACAGAGATGGAAGACCACCACCTTTACTTCATGGTTCCCAACATTACAATGCACTCAGCAAATGCAAAGCAATGCACATCATTCTCCTTAGAATATGATTTGCCCCTCATCTTTTCTCACTTGAGCTCAACCCTGGAAGATGGAGTCTCTGTAGCCCAAGTGGCTTCTTTGCATAGCACACCTTCCAAAGATAGGGCAAAATGCTTCCTGAAAGAAGACCTAAAGGGGTTGTGGACATAGCTCAGTGGTAATGTGCTCCCTGCATTCGATCGCCTGCACCAGGGTGAGGGGGAGCCTGAAAAATACAGCTGTGTCCCTCTGATTTCCAATAATGCTTTAATACTCATTTTAGACATTATAGGAACAAGAGTACGTCACTGTTTTGATTCTGCTTACAATAGCTTACTACTGTCAGAAGTATGGAATCTAATTTGGATTAGATTTTATAGTCTTCTTAAAATCATCTGTAGACTTTAGTCGTATCATTTCTAATATTCCTCAGCCTTTACTACGTCACCTATAAGATGTAGGTAATAATACCTATCAGCTTTACAAGGGAAGGGTCCTATCGGAAATATTTACTAGAAAATGGGAGATAGGTAAAGGCCCAATTAAAAAAACTAAGATCTGATGACAGGTAACCTAGATCCTATTAATGACTCTGCTTTTATTTAGCTTTAGATTTTTGTCAAATCACTTAATTCTCTACATGAACCAAATTCCTCATTATCTATTTTCTCAACTGTCAAATGTAGGTAACTCTTGTTTTACCTACTTCACTTAGAAGAGGAAGAAATATACCATTTATTTATTCAACAAACATTTTGGAAAAGTACATGAGGAAGCCTTTATAAGTACTAGAGATATAAAGATGAATGTTAGAGGTCCTTGTCCGCAAAGATCTCACTATCCCACTCTTACTATACCGTAAGAAGCAGCCCATAATAGAAAAAAGACCACTAAGTTTTGAGTTACACAGGACAAAGCTAGTATGCTGACTTGATCACTTACATACAATTAACATCCTAGTCATCCCTGATAATACAGGAGTCTTGTGGAAGGTAATGTGTATAAAAGGCCAAACAATGTACTAGTCACAAAAAGACTCTCAATAAGTAATAGCTAGTACCATTTTTACAACTGGTGGGTGTTAAAATAATAATATGTAAACTGTAAAGCACTAGACGGTGAATAGAGAGTATTTCTGGAAGAGGAAGAAGCGTGGATAGAAGAGGAGGAGGGTTGACTCCTCAATTGGATAGGACAAAGGAGTTTGCCAGGGAAAGAAAAGCAGAAAAGCACATCCCAGCCAGACAGCACAGGATAACAAAGCAAAAAGGGAAACTATAAAGTGTTTGGAAATAAAGAAAAAAATCATAATATGATTTGAGATGGGAGAGCCAGAATTATTAGCAGTATTTATTTGGCAGTATTATATGCCAGGCACTAAGTTCATCTTCAGAAAACCTCTGTGAGGTAGATATTATAACCCTCAATTTAACAGCTTAGGAAACTGAGGCTTAACAATATTAAGCAACTTGCCCAGTGATACGGATGCTATGTGGTAAAGCCAAAAGACCAACAGAAGTGGCATGCTGGAGAGAATGGGGAACCGAGAATCTGGTGACTTATTCAGAAAACAAATGCGAAACATTAAAGGCCTAAAGACCTGACACACTGCAAGCCGTACTTCAGAAGTGGTGCTGCAGGGCGTAGAGGATGGAAAGGAACAGTTGACGTCAAAAGCAGCTGCCAGGGTTGGCCGAGAGGGCATGGGCCTGGCCAGGGCATCAGGAGTGGAGTTCGGAGCCAGGACACGGGAGACGGCGGGCGTGAAAGAAGCCGTGACCCCCAGATCTGTGGCTTGGGTGGTGCCATTAGCTAGCTAGCTTTGAGAATTAGTTTCATTCGTGTGACAAAAGACGATGTCTGCGTGGGAGATCTGCTTGAACCTAGGCCTATGAGTATCAAGAACTAAGTCTAGCTGAGGAAAGAGATCTACGATTTTAAATCACAGTAGAGATGGGAAAGAACATTTCCAGGAAGACTTCAAAGAGTAAGAAGGGGCAGGCCGGGAAAAGATGCGCAAACACTAAAGGAGATAACCAACATTAGCTCTTCTTTTGGCGGTTACTTGACTGGAAGGTGCCCCTATGGTAAAGCCTGCAGGCCACGATTCTGGCGTGGCACAGCCTGGCGGACCCCAAACAACGCCGACAACTGCCCCCGCCCCCGCTGCCCGGCACGGAATGAGGTACCGCTGCGGATGAAAAGCATCAAAGCCTTTCTCCACGAGACTCGCGATTACATTTCCTCACCGAGGCTGAGATCCAATGGGCACCAGGGCTGCAGGCCGCTCCCAAGGTCCGGTAGCGCCACCATGACACCACAGGGACCCGCTCGTCGCCGCCGTGCTCAACTTTCAAAGCTCGCTCCCGCGCGCGCTCCGAGACGTTCCTGCGGACCAATCACACGTACGGAGTTTTCAGCCGACCAATCACCACAGCAGGCCGATTTCATTCTATTAACCAATCATCTGAATCGTTCGCCGCATGCGCAAAGAATGGGTGGGGTTAAGTCTGGAGACTAAATAAGGTTTCTCCCGGAGGTTTACTTTTTAGCTCTCCTGTTAACGTGGGGAACAGGAACTAAGTTAAAGCCTTGTACCTTCATTCCAGCCTCGTCTTTCTTGACTGGGAGAAAATCTCCCAAGTTGAAACAGTGTACTAATGTAATTAATTATCATTCTTGTCTGTCAAGCGACATTTTGCATGCGTGTCAAGGGGTGTCACGTCAGACAGCACTAGAATTTGGTATATATCCAAGCTTTGGGTGTAACCCAAAGATTATAGAGCTAAAACAATAAGGAAAAATTAACCAAAATCATTTTGAGAAGTAATCTATAGTTATGCTCTTAGGAACGTCAGGGCCTGAATTCTACTGGAAAGAGGCCGGGGATGCCATGTCAATTAAGGGAGAGACAGGCCGCCTTCCCGCAGTGCACATGCGCAGTGGGCACGTCTCCTGGCGGCCTGGAAGCTAGAGGGAGAAATGGGTGTGCGCATGCGCTTGGCATCTCCATCGCATCCGGACTGGATCTCGCCTGCCCCCTCCCCCGCCCGGAGCTGCCGAAGCACCTCGATACGTTGTACCGCCGGAGGCTAGGCAGTTCACTGTGCTGCTCCGCGCTGGACCCCACCCGGTGGGCAGCGGAACACACGCATCGTTCTAAGCTGCTGTCCTCCCCAGCATTGCATCGCCGACACTCGCCCGCTCGTTCTCGCTAGCTGCTCGGGATTACTTGGGACCGGCGAGGTGCTGTGCACTGCTCCTCGGTGCACCTCCCCCGGCCCTGCCCCTCCCCCGTGGAGCAGGCAGTCTGTCTCGCCCACCGCCCAGCGCAGCAGCGGAGCCCGGTTGCGGACGAGCGCGCTCCCGCAGCGGGCCCTCTGGCCTTCCTTCCCTTAGGGCCGCCCGCGCCCCGGAGGAAGGGAACAGTCCTTACCGAGAGCCGAGGGGCCGGGCGGTGAGATGAGCTTCTTCGGCTTCGGGCAGAGCGTGGAGGTGGAAATCCTGCTGAATGATGCAGAGAGTAGGAAGCGAGCGGAGCACAAGACCGAGGACGGGAAGAAGGAGAAATATTTTCTCTTCTACGACGGGGAGACTGTCTCCGGGAAGGTGAGCCTTTCGCTCAAGAACCCCAACAAGCGGCTGGAGCACCAAGGCATCAAGATCGAGTTCATTGGGCAGATCGGTGAGTGGACCCTGGGATCTCCCTCCCCCAGCGCTCAGGCGAGCGCGGGTGCCGAGTGGGGGGCGGGCAGGGGAGCGGGGTGTTTGAGGGCCCAGCTCCCGCCAGGCCTGTCACAATCTCTTGTCATCTGCAGTCCGCGGCCTGGGGTGCAGCCACAAGTCCCGCCCGTAGGCGACTCCGCCCGCGTTACCTTCTTCTCTGCCAAAAGTGACAGCGCACTGCAAGGGAGGTGGGGACTGAGGGCGGGAGGGAGCGCCCTGCCGTGAGGTCGGACGGGCATCTGGCCTGGCCCCTAGGCATCCCTGGCTATCTTCACTGCACGCTCAGATTTGCTCTTGCCCCTAGGAATTCAGAGTAAGGAGTTCTGGCCATAGCCTGCAGGTGGGTCCGTTGCGGGGCGCGGTGGGGGGGGGCTCTTCCATACTGGCTTTCCCATCTAATGGACATATACAGCTGTCAGACCCAAAGTTAAGCTGAGCCCCGGCCCACCCCCTTTTTCTCTTAGATGTGGTGTCGGACAGAGGGCTCACCCGTTCTTACCTCACCTCCACTCTGAACCACCTATCATATATGTGTTTTGAAAAAGAAGACCCATCATCTTCTGCCTCCATCTGACTGCCTACCCTGTATTTCTCAGACTTCGTTATTAGAACGCTAGTCTTCGGCCATCTAATTTTTTCCTTAAAGACAAAGAGATTATATTTCTAAAACCACAAGTAAATGGATCAAGATTTCTCAATGCTCAACAACAGTCCTCAAACATGGCTTTTAATCATTAGAAATAGACAGCAAAGGGCAACAACAATATTTTGAGAGCTGCCCATCAAGACTGGATTGTCTCCAATTCTAAGGTTATTTGGAATCTTGTGGGTTATTAAAATACTTTTAAAATAAATCTTTTTGTCATGAAGTCAGTAGTAGGTTCACAGTAAATACGCTGTGGGCTGCAAACACCTCTGGCAGAGGATCCATAACCTGTACCTGGTACTGAACATTCAACAAAGCATTTTTTCTCTCCCTTTTACAGAGGTAGGAAACACTGAGGCACAGATAGGAGGAACCCTGGGAAAAGGCATCCTGATGACCTGATTCTGCAATCCACTGTTCAGACTTAAGCATTTTGCTCCTGGTGTTTAAGAAAATGAAATCAGGCTGAAGACTGGCTGATCATACAGGACCTTTAGATTTGAAAGCGAGAATATGAGAAGCCAGTTACTGCACCAGAAAAGGGCTTGGAGAGTAGGTTTCCTGCCTTCTGCCCTCTGCTCCTAGTTTAGATGGCCAGGCTTCTCAACAGCAGTGCTGTTGACATTTAGGGTTTGATAGTGCTTGCTGTCACAAGATGTTTAGCAGCACTTCTGGCTCTACCAGCTAGACTACCAGTAGCATCATCCAGCTGTAGCACAAAAAAACACATGTTACGATATTGCCTTATGTCCTCTTGAGGATAAAATCACCCCCAAAAAAGAGCCACAAGGTAGATGGGATATGTCTAAAGCAGTTTATGTTAAGCTCACAATATGAAATAGGTGAGAAATACTTGTCTACTGAGAATTGGTATTTTAAGTAGGAGTTTTAAAATTATTACTTCGATTCTTTGGCTCCGTAACACTAATGTAGACAAGCATGTTTAGTCTGCGTCTGTTCCATTGCTTTCAAGTGGGAACACCTTGCCAATACGTGGAAGATATCCCAGAATGTTCTCTGACCCAGACAATATGCAGTGGGCCATTCTAGAAGTAACAGTGTCAAGGTCTCCCTCTGAGGAGACTGTTGGCTGTGCCTGCTTCCACCCTACCTTCTTTCTAACTCCTTAGTTCCAAGACATCATCCTTACTGAATTGTCTCAAAATATTTTGTTGCTTCCATTTGTAGTATCTGAGGCCTCCTGAGCACTCTGGGCTGGGGTGGCCATGAGTCTTTGGGGAAGTTACAGCATCAGCTTCCTCAATTGTAAAGCAAGGATAATAAAATCACCAGTCATTATGTTCAGCATGTTGCAGGGTCATGCCTGTACAGAGGGTTCCTTATGAAAAGGACAAGGAGCCAGTGTAGTGATGTGTCCATTTCACAAATTCATGATAGTCACTGATTTACTGTCATATATTCTTATAGGAAGTGCGAGTTTCAGCCCTTTGCCTTAAAGCTCTTGCTTCTGCCACATGGGCCAGTCGTGCCTTGTATTGCAAGTAGAGCCCACCCCAGCTGCATGCTTAAAGTATATACCTCACTCTAAATTATCCATAATTACATAAGAAAATGGTAATAGAGGCCAGGTGCTAGTGGCTCTTGCCTGTAATCCCAGCTATTTAGGAGGCGGAGATTAGGAGGACTGTGGTTCCAGGCAGGTTGGTTTGTTGGGGGGGAGACTGGGCAAAAAGTTAGTGAGACCCCCATCTCAACAAATAAGTCACATACACGCACCTGTAATCCAGGTGGCACAGGAGGCATACGTAGAAGGATCATAGTCCCAGGCTGGCCCCCAGCAAAAAGCAAGATCCTATCTGAAAAAATAACTAAAGCAAAAAGGGCTGAAGGGAATGACTCAAGTGGTAGAGCACTTCCCTAGCAAGTGCAAAGTCCTGAGTTCAAACCTCAGTACTGCCAAAAAAAGAGACATTAATAAAAGCTTTCTAGCCAAGAATGGTAGCACATGTCTGTAATCCTAGCGCTGAGGAAGCTGAGGCAGAGGATCAAGACAAGTCTTGGCTACAATAGAGAGATGTCTCAAAAATCTTTTGGAAAAGAAAACCTTTCTAGTTATGTTTAACATAAAAGAGAGTTTGTGTTCCTAAAACTGACTGATATTAAAAGTATACCAACTAGGACTAGGGGTGTGACTCAAGTGGTAGAGCGCCTGTCTAGCAAGCAGAAGGCCCTGAGTTCAACCCCACTCATCACCAAAAATAATAATAATAAAAGCTATGTCAGCCTATTTGGAAACACAAAATAACTTTCTTTAGGCTGTTAGATTTCTTTTTTATCCTCTTGGTTTGCCCAAAGAAGCAGGACTTGAAGTATTATGTCATATACCTAAGACAGTCATTATGAACCGACCTCAGGGCACCAGAGCGAGGCTAGTAGGTAACTTTGCTAAAGTTGTGGTCCTGTGGTTTTCTCCTTCATTGCATTCTTTGACTGTGTATCAAGTGGGTGGGACTTCCATCAGGTTCTGAGGTCTGACTCTATGGGTTTTGTAGGGGATAAAAAAATAACTGTCACTGAGTTCTGTTCCTGGTCCCACTCTATAGCTCATCATGGGAATCTCATCTGCACCCATGACTTAAGTGTCATCTGTTCTGATGTCTCCCAAACTGCATCTTTGACTTGACTGGAACTTTCTACTTATACCTGTCTTACTTGCTGCCTGCTGGGTCTGTTCACCTGAATGCCCCACTGGTGCCTCAGAGACACAGTCCAGCCCCAGCTCCAGTGCCCCCTGCTCTCCCCCCTGCTGCTTCTCCTGTTTTCTCCACCTTGGCCTGCATCATCTGGGTCCATTCAGTCCCAGAGTTCCAGGTGTCCAGCTGGTCCCCTCCAACAGTCTTTAATGTGTGTCTTGTCTATGCTTGTTCTTATTCTCTATGCTGCCCCCTTTGACGTGAAGCCTTCTACCTGTCTTTATTTTCCTCTTCTTCCAGTCATCTTCTGTAAGAATGGAGTTCCTAAAAGGCAATTCTAACCTTGTCAGTCTCTTCCTTAAAGCTTTTATTGTCTTCCTACTGGTTAGAAGCGAAGGTTTATGTCCTTCTGAGCTGGTCCCTGTCGGACTTTCCAGATTCATCTCTCCCAAAACTTCATCCTTGCTACTTGTATTTTCCTCAAAATATCCTGTTCTGCTTGAGACCTTAAGTTCAAACTCCAGCACATTCTAGAATCCTGATATCTTCCCTTTGTATATGAATAATATCCTTCTGCAAAGTATGACCCTGCTCTTACTCAATCTTCACATCACATCAATCAGGTCTTCCCTAACTGCCCAAGGCTGTCTTAGCTCTTCCCCTCTGTTCTTCAGGTCCCATTGACACCTCTTTTCAAGCAGGATGTGACTTTTTTAAAACTTATCTGACTTCCCTGCTCTGCCCTCCCAAAAATGAAATTGGGGAATGCCTTCAGTCCACCATTAGTCTAATGGCTCAATCTCTAGTCTCAGTGAAGGGCACACAGAAGGTGCACAATAAACACTCACTAATTGGATACATTGGTTGGATCTAAGAATTTATAGAAACTATTCTCTGGAATTTTTTTCTTACCTCCTGGTAGAGAAGCCAGTTACTTTGTTTCATTATTATTGTACAGTACCAGGAAACAAGCCCAGGGCCTCATGCATGCCAAGCAAGTGCTCTATGACTGAGTTACATCCATAGTCCACCAGAGTTACTTTAAAGAAAGAAAGGGAGAGAACAGGTTGTGCTGCTGGTCACCATTAAGTGACTGGGCTTCCTGTGTGTGCTTGTGGAGGAGGCATTGATGAGCTATGTGCAGCCTTCAATCAAAGCCACTAAGAATTTGGATGACTCATGAACACCAGGCACCCACCACAGCAGCATTCTCATTGAGGGAGCTGGGATAAGAAAGCCCTAAAGTGATGTCAGTTCACCTGCTTTTGCATCTTTTTTTCACCATACTCCTATGCCAAGTTGAGACTAAATTCTCCTGTATATGAGAAAGGAAGAGTTGCAGATCTATGGCCCTTTTGGTCCTGTACCAGCTGCTCAGATGTTACACTTTGAATTTTTCCCGTGGGAGTGTAGTAAGATCTTATTTATTCACTCAAGTCATTATGTTTTTGTTACTTTCTGTAAGTTTTTTAATGTATTGGTATCCTCCCTGTACTGAGTGATTTTTCTGATGGCTCTGTTCTAACAATGTCAACAAATGTGTGGTAAGGGAATTTTCCAGGCTAGGCCTATGGGACAGAAAGACCTAAGACCTAGTTGCACCACCAGTTAATGGCCCCCATTTTTAAAGATGCAATTGTGTAGAGAGAGCACTGAAAAGAAGAAATGAGCATTTTTCAGCTGGAATCCTTTGGGGGAACATTAGTGGAGGATGTGATACAGGCCTGGGCCCATGAACACCCCTGTAACTCCAGGGCCAAATAGATATTATCTGGATTTTAAAATTTTATAATGAGCCCATCAGCACCAACCAAGCCTGCACTTTTAAAAAATTCCAGAGACTTTCTATTTTAACTCATTAACCTTTGAAATAGTAAGTAATAGTTATGCTGAAATTAACTGGCTTGATTTTGGCCTACTTAAAAAAAATTGCCAGCAGGGCTTAAAGAGTAGTTGTGCAGAGCTGAGCTGAGTATAGGCAATGCAGAGATGTGATTGCCCCCACAGGTTTGCCAGGGCCCAGGAGATGTGCGTGAGACCTGCAAGCATGAATCTTGACCAGGTTGCCAGCCAGCAAACAGGGGCTGGGAAAATCAGATGAAAAGAAGGCTCTCATCCCCTTGATTTATATTTCTTCCAAGACCAACATGAAGCCTAGGCTTTATGTGGTCCTAGCCCAGCAGCAAGTCACGGGATGATCCTGTGATGCAAAGCTGGCTCAATTTCCTTCCAAAGTGGCAATTTCACCTTGACTGCTGGTGGCAAATTTTACCATGAAAACATCCTGAGTGCAAAAGTTATTTCCTCCTATTGAACTGAGAAGGAAACTAGTGACAGAGAAGTTACCTTTTAAAAAAAAAGTCAGTTCCTACTTCTAGAATGAAATGTGTGGTCTCTAAGGGCTTTAATAGTTGGCAAGAATTAGAGATAACTTATAGCTGCTTCTTTGGAATGGAATAAGAGGCTGTTCATAGTCTCTTTAGGGCCTGAACACTCAGATTTTCTCTTTTAATTTATGCAAGATGAAACCAATCTTTCTGGCAAGTAGCAAAGTAAGGCTACTATTTCTGCACCTTTGGCCTGCAATGTTTACAGTCATTGCAAATGGCTTATAAAACTAAAAATAAAAAAGGCCATTCCTGCCTTGCTCAGACCACACACTGGCCACTCTTCCATGGCATTTAGTAAGGAGCTGTTATTAATGTTGCAGGAGGAAAAGCACTAGGGAGAATGTGATGCGAGGCAGAAGAGGATATCTCCTGCCCAAGTCCCCTGCTGGGGCAGGCAGAGAGCTTCTACACTGTTGCTAGGATCCTTGAATGCTGGCAGCCTGAGCACTCTCTGAACCTCCTGTTTTGCTTATTTCTCATGTTGCCTTTGAGCTGTGCATAACATTTGTGTGTTTTTCTATCCTCTTCCCATCTCTCTCAACTCTAGAATTTTCCATTTACAGTTAATGGACAATGAGGCCTTGCTCTGCTTGCTTCTGTACCCTAGAACTAGGGCAAAGATCCAGTATTTGGGAACTGAGGTACTGGTTCCCAAGTTAAGGGTTCAGTTCTCCTATAGGAGCCAGCACCATCAACCAGGACCCAGGTAGCAAGAGTAAGCAGAGGACTCCCAGTTGCTGAAGCTGGCCAAGCCTCTGTTTCCACCCCTCCCTGCAATTCCTTGCTTTTACTGGCAGTGCAGTTACTGGATTGCTCACTTTTCCCCCACATAGTTTGGAACTGTCATCTCCCTTTGGTAGATTTGTGGATTATCACTCACTACCTAGAATACTGTCCACTGCTGACACCATTTAGTGTTTGGAAGAGAAGGTGGTTTGTTTGCAATAAAAGACTAAAAGACTAATCAACTGTAACTACATAGAAAACCCACAGAATGCACTGTAAATTCTGTGGAACCAACATCACTAATGTTGGATTATCTAAATTATTGCCACCTTCTTGAGTTGGATATATGGGGGGAGGTTGTTTGTTTTGTGGTGTTGGGATCACACCTAGGGCCTGTTTCCTCATTCATGCCAGGCAAGTGTGCTACCACTGAGCTAACATCCCAGCCCAAGTTGGATATCTCATGACAGAGCCTGCTCTGTTTAATGCCCCTGAATAGGGGGAAAGGGCCCCATGAAATGGGTATGTCAGGGGAAGCTACTGGCCTAGCAATGGGGGAAATTTTTCACTCAGGCTAAAAAGCACCAGTTAAAACCATTTTTCTTTTTCTGGGGATGGTTCTTTCTCTGGGGCAGAGCTGAACATTGTGTTGGCCCTTGGGAGGCAAGAGATCTAGTTTCTTAAGCTCAAGAAGACTTCAATCCTAATCAAGGCTCAGGTCTTGTGTTGTCTGGGTTGGACCCAGAACAAATGCAGCTCTCCTTGCTTCCCCATCAGGAGAGAGATGGCTTCCTATGCCCCAGAGATGGGGCACCAGAGCACCAGACCCTATGGGTGGTAGTCCCAGAGACTGGTCTCTGTGGACCTTTTTTCCCAAGCAGTAAACTGCAAAAGCAGTAAGTATGCTCTGCCTGTTCCTTTTTCCCAGTTCATCTTCCTGCTGCAGGTTGAACCCAGGGATACCTGACAAGTGACAGCTTGAACTGTCATGTAGCCATGTAATACTCATAGTCAGAATTAAGCATTCACCACTGTGGGGCCAGGTACTAATAGGTGCCAGGAAGCTGGGGTAATGAGCCTTATCTTTAAAGGACCTTCAGTCCAAAATGGAAAAGAAAGACAATATATGTAGCAAAACTTAAATAACAGAATACAAACTGACATAAAATAATATAGGACAAATGGCGACATGAGCTTATCATAAAGAAATGTCACAAATGAGGCTGGTGGATTGGCTCAAGCACTAAGAGCACCTGCCTAGCAAGCATGAGGCCCTGAGTTCAAACCCCAGTGCTGCAAAAAAAAAAAAAAGGCAGAAATGTCACAGATGTTTCATGAAGAGAATGAATTTAGAGCCATGCTTCTCAAAGCCTCCTCTATCATACCCAGGCCACATGGGGCCTAGTGAGGGTGCTCCAGGCTGAAGATATCACTCAGGTGCTTCTCACCCCAAGCTTATTAGAAAGGCACATTCTCAGGACGCATCCCAGATTCCCAAATCAAAATCACTAGGGGTAAGGCCCAGCGATCTGTTTTACCCACTTTCTAGGGACTTCTGATGCATGCAGATGTTTAAGAAACACTGATTTAGATGGGGGAATAACATTAACATTAAATGGGCTACATGCCTGCCTTTCTGAGGGATAGCAGCACCTAGTGATTCTGTTTATTGAGTATGCTGTCTACTAGGTCCTACTCTAAATGCTTTTCCTACATTATGTCCCCTATTTCTTACAAAACCTTATGTAGTGGGTTGTGCTATCAGTCACAAAACATAGGTGCAATTCAGGAAGAGGCCTGCTCCAATCTCAGTCCTTGCAGCCAGCTCTGTGGCTTTAAGCCAGTCATAAAACCATGTGCTCCCTCACTTCCCTTCTCTGAAAAATGGGTAGTAAGGCCTGACCAAGCCATCTTGCAAGATTATCATAAAGGTGACACAATTAAATATATATATGTATTTCTATTTATTTTTATATATCTTTTCAAAAATTAGAAACGATAAAAGGACAATGTTTTTGATACTGGCTCCTTTGATGTGTGCTAAAACTCTGTTCACTGAGGCTGCCCAAGACTGCTTCCAACATGTCCTTACACTTGCTTTTATTGGGGGGCAGTTACTGCATTGTTAAATGAGAGCAATGTCCTGGAGGAGGATTATATTGGATTCTTGTGCCAGGAATCTCACCATATAAGACAGAGGAATCAGCTAGCTGTAGTAGTACACACCAATAGTCCCATATATTTGGAGACTGAAAAGAATGGTTGCTTGAGCCCAGGAGTTGGAGGTCAGTTTGGGAAACATAGCGAAGCCCCTTCACAAACAAACAAAAAATGGAGGAGTCTTTGGAAAAGATGAAGAGAAGGAGACCAGTGTATGTGGAATGCAGTAAAGGAGCACAAATCAGAGATAGAGGGAGTCCAAAAACAAAGATAGAAAGGGTCTGGTTTGGGGGAGGCCCTTCAGAAGAGTGGTGCCTCCAGCCTGGGGCCCCCTCACTAGGCCTCATATGGCCTGGATGTGACAGAAGCAGCTTCTCTCTCTCTCTCTCTCTCTCTCCAGAACTCTACTACGACCGCGGGAACCACCATGAGTTTGTGTCCCTGGTAAAGGACTTGGCTCGGCCTGGAGAGATCACCCAGTCGCAGGCCTTTGACTTTGAGTTTACCCATGTAGAGAAGCCGTATGAATCCTACACAGGGCAGAATGTGAAGCTACGGTAAGTTGTCACTTCTGCTTCCCTATTGTGCCCCAGAACCTGCACCAGGAAGTGAGAACCTGAAGCTGTCCCCCTTTCTGAGGGTCTTTACATGGATATTGAGAAGGAGTGTGGCAAGCTGTGGTGTGCTGGTAAATGTTTTTAAGAATGGGCTCTCTCAGAGGAAAGGCTCTGGTATGTAGCATTCATCACTCTCTGTGGCATAAGTGTCCCCACCATGGCCGGTCTCCAGTTACCACCTGATGTCCCTGAACACAAAGGTAGGAGGACATGTCTAGTCACCACCTTTACTGTCACACCGGTGTATATTCCCTCATGAGCAGAGAGCATCATAAAGTGTAAGAAAATCGGAAGCGATGAGGTTTTATATACTACCCTTGTAAGTTTATATAAGTTAACTTTAAATAATAGCTGTGTTTAACAACCAGTTTGAAAAATTCTTAAAAATTCAGCAATTGGCTTTCATAATTGAGCTGGCCCCAGAGAACCTCTGGTTAGGTGTCCAGAGGTACTGACCCCCTATGTAGATCTGCACACAACAGCAATGTGGTCTTGAACTCTGTAACTGCACTTTCTCACTTGAAAAATGGGTAATAGAGTTGAACTCTAATTCTAGATCTGTACTCTCCACGTTTTGGGAGTGATAAGAAAATGTCACACAGTATAAAACATGGTCCTTAAAAAATCATGGACAGTGCTTGGGGATGTAGCTCAGTGGTTAAGTGTTTGCTGAGCCTGCACAAGGCCCTGGGTTCAATCCCCAGTACCACAAAACAAAACAAAAAAAAAAACAGACACAGGGCTGAGAATGTATCTCAGTGGTATATTGTTTGCCTAGCATGTGCAAGGCCCCAGGTTCAATCAGCACTGCAAAAACATAAAATAAAAAAAAAAAAACCATGAACATTTTAAGCACATGGGTTTTTCCTATTCCAGTCTTGGAAATTCTGATGCCAAGTCCTCTGAGATTAAAAAACAAATTCCACAGAAGCTATACACACTTAGCTGTAACCCTGAATGATGTGATGTCACTGGAATAAAGCAGATTCCGTCACTGAACATCTGACTCCAGGTCTTGATACTATCTCAAAAGATCAACTGTTTTTATCACCTGTAGGTCTGGGCTTAGGCAAGTGTAGACAGCAGCAAGACCGATACCTCTTCTTCTTTCTCCTTCCACCGGGAGAGTGTTGGTAGACTTTTCTTTCTTTTCTTCTTTTTTTTTTTCCTTTGTGGTACTGGAGATTGAACCCAGGATCCCACACTTGCTAAGTAAGTGCTCTTATTACTTGAGCTACACCCTCAGCCCCATAGACTATTCTTTTCAAATCTTTGCAGACATTACTTCCACTAAAGATAATATTTAATCATATCACTCAGAGAAGGCAATAACAATGAGGATTATCTGGACATCACTTAAGCTTATCTATGGAACTGTTTTTATTTTAAAGCCAGGGGCTTTCTATGTAGCCCAGGCTGGCCTCATACCTTAGATCATCCTGCCTTGACTTCTTGAGTACTGGGGGTTACAGACGTGTACCAACATGCCTTTTCTTTTTTTCTCGCAGTAGATTTCTCTTTGTGTCAGAAAGAAAGGTGTTAGAGATAATATGGTGGCTCCTCAAAAAATTAAACATAAGAACATGTGATCCCCTGGGTTAAATCCCCAGCACTGCATCACCTCATCACCTCTCTCTCTGTCTGTGTCTCTGTCTATCTGTCTGTCTGTCTCTCTCTCTCTCTCTCTCTCTCACACACACACACACACACACACACCTGTGGTTGTCTATCCAAAAGATTTGAAAATAGGGTCAGGAATAGGTGTTTGTACATCCATGTTCATATCAGTGCTCACAATAACTAAAAGGTAAAAGCAACCTAGGTTTCCATCAGTAAATGAATGGATAAACAAAACATATATACACTGGAATACTTTACAGCCTTAAAAAGGATAGAAATTCTGCATATGCTAAGACATGGATAAACCTTAAGTACTTACATTAGATGGAAAGGACAAATACTGTGTGATTCCATTTATATGAGGGAGGTGCCTAGAGTAGTCAAATTCATAGATATAGGACCTAGAAATGAATAGTGTGTACACTGCAGATGTGCTCAGAAGTAAGAACTGGTCCATCTTTTAAGGAGGGAAACAGTGCAGGGAGAGAAGAACCAGAACTTACTGGGGATAGGAGGAAGAGTTGGTCAGTTGGGTACACAACTCGATAAGAGGGCTGCTGGTTTTGGCACTGGGAGGCCATGTATTTCCCTCAGGATAGCAGTTTCTGTTGGGCAGGAGCTGAATGGGAGTAGAAGCTGTAGATGTCAGTATATGACTTGTCTTATGATAGCTGCTTGTAAATAAAGAAAAGAGAGCCTATGATAGGTAGGTAGGTAGAGTGTAATCCCAGCACTCCGAAGGTCAGAGGGAGGGTTTGGTGGATTAGTGTGTTTGGAACTTTTTGTATGCTCAAAGGAAGAACTTTTAGCTTTTAAAGAGACTGAACGTTTGAGGAAAATTGGAGAAGTAGAAAGGCTCAAGACCCTGGACCAAAGTTCCCACATTAGAAGCATTTTGGAAGCTTTTTAAAATGGTGTGTCTCTCAGCAGAGCAAATAAATGTCAGATACACCTGGACATCACGATTTTTCAGGTGGTTCTAATGAATATCCAGGTGGAGAATGGGTTGTACCAAATGGAAGAGAGAAGATCTGAAGAGAGGGATGCTGTTGGAAGGAAGTGGTTAGACAAAAGTACAGACTTCTTAGGCCCTAAATAAAAACAGCACAAAGTAGAGAAGGGAGAGAGTTACAAATCTTGACTTGAAAGTCCTTCCTCTTCTTAATACAGTAAAAAGTAGCGTATTCCCTTGAAGGACAGACTTGGGACCTGAACAATTAGAAAAGGGATAGGGACAAATGTCTGGGGCAGAGTTACAGAGTTAATGAGATAAATACAAAGGATTGCCAAGAAGCAGTCTGTGCCACACAGAGGACAGTAACCTTAAATGTGTAGCTGATATAATCAGCATAGCTTTATAACTTTCCCCAATTATGCTTACCAGGCAATAGGGATTATCTACATATCATTTAGAAGAAGTTATAATTAAAGGGGTGTTTTCTGCCTGGTTGGATATTAGCATGGTGTTATGTCCAGGCAGCAGGTGGTGCTGAAGTGGCTGACTACAGAGCTTGAACTTGTTAAACTTTTAGGGGCCATGTCTCTTATTTCTAACACATTCCCTACCACACAACCTCCTCCTCCAGGTTGAACCAGAGACAACTTTGGTATTCACACTCAGTCTCTGTTGCTTTACATGAAAGTTTGTTCTTCTTGGAATGTCCTTTCTCCCCACAGTACTAGATAGTGCCATCTCAATTAACACTTCCCAGTGTTCTAATTTTCCTGTTTATTTGCCTGTCAGCCCCTGTGGACTGTGAGCATCCCATGAGGTTGAATCTTATTCATCCTATGAATAAAAGAGTGCTTAGCTCAATAAGTTTGCTGAGTGAATGGCTGATTTAATTCTCCATTTCCTATTCCCCTCTTAAAACCATGAGAGACTTAAAAAATGTTTATTGATCAAATACTGTTAAATGAACAAAAATGTAAATATGAGTATGGGACAGGTCCCTGTGTTCAAAAAACAGGAGTTAGGTGAAGAAATAAAAGCTGGTAGATAGTGGTAAGAGTCATGAAAAAGGCCTACAAATAACATGCTGTTAAGAGTACAGAGAAGAAAAAGCACCTTTACTTAGAGCAGGGTTAACCCAGAGGCATGGACTCCAAAAAGGATCTTGCCAGGAGGGTCTTTGGTCTTTCTAGAATTGTAGTTGCAAACTTTTGTATATAGATGCTTATGTGCATTATTTTCTGGGAGAAAGGTCCATAAATTTCAAAGGGATACAAAACCCCAAGTTAAGAATCACAAAAAGTGGACCAGTTTTTACCTGTATCTAGGCAGCATCTGCAGACTGGAAGTTTTCATTCATGACAGCTCCATCTCCTTACAGCTATTTCCTCAGAGCCACCATCAGTCGCCGCCTCAATGATGTTGTCAAAGAGATGGACATTGTAGTTCACACACTCAGCACATACCCAGAGCTGAACTCTTCCATCAAGATGGAGGTTGGGATTGAGGACTGCCTGCACATCGAGTTTGAGTATAATAAATCCAAGTAAGTGTCCTGGACCCCAAGATTGTGAAGTAATTATTTAGGGAGGTTAAGACAGATTCTGATGTGATAGAGCTCCATGATGCCACTGCTTCATGGTGACATGTTGTAGAGGGAATTCCACAGAAATAATACAGTAGATATATGTGCTAGGCTACTTGCAGATAGATGGACCAGGAAAGGTAAACTTCACTTTACTTAAACTAAACTATATTAAGATGGTAGGCTAGAGTTAAACCCCTAAGATGCCTTTCAAAGTCCAGCCAAACTAACATGAGGTTTCTTGTTTTAAATTCTAGGCACAGCTACTTCCTTTTATGATGAGAATAATCAGGGAACACAATTCCATTATCATTTGTTTTCTCCACATCATTAGAAATCAGTGAGGAAACCAAATACTGTCAAGGGTTTTCTGCTTCTTCCCTGAACTACAATGAACTGTAGCAAAGAATACTTGATTCATTTTTATAAAGGTTTTAAAATAACTTTATTTTAACTGGAAAGTCAGGAAGCTGTGTGGTTTTTTTGGTTGTTTGTTTGTTGTGGGGGTTATACTATATGTTTTAAACTGTGTTTACTGTTAAAACATCAAAATATTTAACTGCTTGTATGTAAATCACAAAATTCTCTAGCAGTCTGTCAATTTCAGAAAACATTTTTTGAGTATCATCTATTACTGAAAATGTATGGAAATCAAGTATCTAAAACAAATATTCTATTCACAGAGAGCTAAAAATAACCAATCTCTCATTGTGGTGTCCCCATCCCCCTGGCTCACTCAACCAGAGGCTGGGGGTAGTGGGTACTGATCTAGATGGTTGCCTTTGAAGACGTTGGGAACTGAATTTTTTAAACCAGGAATATACTCAGTTCCTGGAATAGTTTGAAGTTCTCTTCCCCCTGGAAGCTCTTTTTCTTGGATGGAACTCAGTGTGTCTTAGAACCAGCTCTGCTTGGCCTGGCCCACCTGTGAAATGGTCAGGGTGCTTGGAAGGAGGCTGATTGATTTGGGCCTGGCATGGGAACAGGCTTCTTCCCCTTTCTCTTCACAGTCCTAGGGCTCTGTGTGGTTCTGCCCACTAATGCCCCAGGATCTGGTGAAAGTAGTGGCTAGCAGCAGGTATGCTAAGGTTATCTACAGTCTTCCCAATAAACTATAAAGAAGAAAGGTGCTGAGAAACAGTTGGGGAGCACTCCAGCCTGAGAACTTTGGAACCTTGTTCACCTCCTGTCTCTGCTACTTCTTACATCCTAGTCAAATGATCTATTTTCTTTCAACTTCATTTTCTTCACCTATCATATGAACAGGCTAAATTCTGAAATCTCTACCAGTATTCACGTCCCATGCATCTGAGCTTCAGGTTTGAGATTTTGCTGGCTTTCTGTCATGCCTGGTATAGGGTTTGCATATACAGACTACAGCATTATCTGCTGAAGGGTGAGAAAGTGTTAGGCAATGTGGCTAAATCCCTAATAGCTCACAGAGCCCAAGCCATGCAAGCAGAGCCCAGGCAGCAGGCACTGATACCTAGGGAGTCTCATTCATCTCACACTAGTGCTCTTGTCTGGCCTGTCCAGCCCACAGTAAACAGAATTGCTCCCAAAAGACATTAATTATATGTAGAGAACAAGGCAGAAAGGACAAACAGTTTGTAGAACTGACCTGTTGTACATGAGAAAAACACATACATTTAAAAAACACAAGTGTAGGCTTGGGGCTTGACACAAAAGCGAGAGTGCCTACCTAGCAAGTATGAGGCCCTGATTTCAAACCTCAGTATGGGTCTGCCCTTTGTCAATACCACCCAAACAAATAAAAACCCCAAGTACTACAGGTAGCTGAGGAGACAGAGCAGATGAACAACTGTGAACAGATGAAGTATCATGCGGGATATGTCCTTTGAGCAGATTGTAGAAGAGGAAGTTACTCAGATTTGGGAAAAGAACATATTAGGAAACCATTCCACCATGGCAGCGAGGGTGTGAAGATGGGTGAGTGTTCACTGCAACTAGACCTTCAACCAACATGCACAACCCTAGCAGTGTGCTCCCCACTGAAACAAAGGGGCAGCTATTGCACCACCATCTTACCTCCTCTACTTTCTCTTCCTCAGATACCACTTGAAAGATGTCATTGTAGGGAAGATATACTTCCTGCTGGTGAGAATCAAAATTAAGCACATGGAGATAGATATCATTAAACGAGAAACAACAGGCACAGGCCCTAACGTGTACCATGAGAACGACACAATAGCCAAGTACGAGATCATGGATGGGGCGCCAGTGCGAGGTGAGTTTCCTGGCTCAGGACCTCAGCTGACATACCCAGACCCCTTTCAGAATTTGAGAAGGACTTGAGATTGCAATTTTGAGGTAAGATGTCCTATCAACCTATGATTTCTTAGTCTAATTGTGTGTGCATTGTAAGTGCCAATAAGGAGGAATAGAAAGGCTGAATCTAAGGGTAAAGCTCAGTGGTAGAACATTATGAATAAGGCTCTGGCTTCAGTCCCCAGCACTGCAGGGGGTGGGAGGGAAGAAAGAAAAAGAAAGGCTAAATTTGGGAACTTTAGGTTCCTACTCTGTCTGTACCCAGAACAGCTCCACATTGATCTTGTTTATACATTGGACTTAGACTTAAGATTTAATTTCAAGATTAGACGTGTTTCATACTTCCCAAGAAGTTTGAAAAGTACTAATTTAAGAAACAGTTTGAATATTTCACTCCTTTTTCCTATTAACATCCTGACATGTTTTGCTGTTTGGGGCAAGAGATTCATGCAAGGTAGTTATTTCCATTACTTAGTTTCAGCTCTGGTAAAATTATTCACTCTGAATTCATTCACCTAGCTTAAAAACTATTAGATTTGCTAGCCCACACTACAGGGGCTGTGGGCAGCACTAGAGCCCAATGGAAATAGTCCTCCCCTAGCCCCTGGATCTGATATTACATCTGGGACAAGTGGAATTTAAAGCTCTTTGTTATTTGGAGAAGCTGGATGATTATTGGAGAATAGCAATCATTCTTCACTGGTTCTGTAGCAATCTCTTCTCATACTGAAGTGTTTGATGGCTTCAAGATGTTAGCCAGTGTATACCCAGTTTGTCCACGTGGAAAGAGAGTATCACAGAATTAGTCCCCAACACTGGTGACACTCAGCATGTCCTTAGATGTCACCATCCCAGCCCCTGGGGGGTTAGGACCAGCTCTTCTGACTTTTTCAGTTGTTTCATTTTTTTGGTCCAGTAGTGCAAGTACAGTCAACTGTTACTTCTCCTGTACATATGAAATGGGGCATTGAGAGACAACATAAAATAGCAGATATTAAAAGATTGTTTATATTTAGTTTTAGGCTACATTGTAGGTTTGTCAGTTGCCCTAATTTTGTTCCTCTTACACTAGGAAAGGCACAATGTTAGGGAAGAAGGGACCTAAAATATTGGGCAGTTGGATTCTCTGATTTTCACATGAGGACATTTAGGTTCAGAGAAAGCAACAGACTTATTCAGAAGTCATGAACTGGTTAACAGAGAACAGGGCCAGAATGAGGATTTTTGTTTTCTGGATCCTTCTGCCAATCTATATTAGAGTGGGGGTATACTCCAGGGCATATACTAACTAGGATGGAGGGAGGTGGAATCACAACTCCTGGATGACATGGCAAAGTTGTTGCCTCTTGAAAACCCAGTGTTACTAGGCACATTGCATGTATAAAAGGATGTTTAACAGTAGTATCCTTGTGCCATTCACTCAACTGCTCCTCGTGCTTTCTGACATGATGGTGAGAGAACAGGTCAAAGCTACAAGACTGGGATAGAACTAGAGAGTCATGTTCTTGCTTCGCAACTGTTGGGCAGCAGAGTGCAACATCCCAAATGCCTGTGCCTAGTGCTTTGTGCCTTGACTTGCTCAGCTGAGTCTTACCTCCTCTCTTATACAAAGGGACTTGGTATAAGACAGAGTAGAACACGTCCCTTGCTCTGATTCCTGCCTTACCCCTTACAGGAGAATCCATCCCAATCCGGCTGTTCCTGGCAGGGTATGAGCTCACACCCACCATGAGGGACATCAACAAGAAGTTCTCTGTGCGCTATTACCTCAACCTGGTGCTGATAGATGAGGAGGAACGGCGCTACTTCAAGCAGCAGGTGAGTGCCTCCTCCAGGCCTCTAGATGCCTTAGGGACAGAACAGAAGGCCATCATTCCTATGGAGGTTCCATTTTGACAGATTAAGCAGAATGGTACAAGGGAAAGAGCTATTAGGTCTATACCATGTATTTTACCAAGAGGTGGAAACATTAGGTTACCCAGAATCCCACAGCAGCAATAAGGGTACCCACTTGATACCTAGAGTCTGCTTTCTCAGGCCTACCTCTTATAAGCACCCTGCCTTTCTGGCCCACAGCAGAGACAAAGACAAGTGGTATAGACAGCTGCTGCTTTGGTGAAATAAGTAAAGTGGTTCTTGCCCAAGATTCCCCAGAGCCAAGGTGAGAGCCTCTGGAAAGCCCATCCCCGAGCTTACCTCTCAGGTACTGCATCCCTTCCTCCCCCCTCAATCCTGCAGGAAGTGGTGCTGTGGAGGAAGGGTGACATCGTGCGGAAGAGCGCCTCCCACCAAGCAGCTGTCGCCTCACAGCGCTTCGAGGGCACAGCCTCCCTGAGTGAGGTGCGGACCCCCAACCCGCTGTCAGACAACAACGGCAGGCAGTAGGCCCCAGCCAAGAAGCTGCTGGGCTCCTGCCCAGCTCTGCCATCTACCAAACACCAGCGGCTGGGGGAGGGGAGGATGCTGTTGGCTCAGCTGACCGTTACTTGCAACCTTGAAAACAAATCATGTTTCTGACTTAAATTCTTTTCTCTGAAGAACCTAAGGGGCTTGGGTTGGGAAGCAGTCTCCTTGGGATTCTGCAGCTGATGTGGAGTTAGGAACCTAGTCTCTCCTTGGGGAATAAGAGCCTGCTATTGAGGCTTCCTCATGGGACCAAGAGCACATTTCCTGGCTCTCTGGGCTTCCTGATACAGGATCTGAGGTGTGTCCCTGGGATGCAGAGCTGCCAGCAGGGTCCTGGGTAGTCACGTCTTACACTCCCCTTGACTGTCTCTGAGGTAGTGGCAGGATGTGGGCCTGTCCCATCCTAAATGGGGGAAAGATAAGATCAGGAAGCTACCTCTCTGGGAGTCTCAGACGTGGTGCTTTGAAGTTTCCACAAGCCACTTCTCTGGCCTGTCACTACTGGGATCCAGGCACCTCCCTTCTTCATCTTCTCTGGTTTGTCAGGAATATCCTGGAGCAGAAACCTGTGGAAGGGCCTAGGGTTGACTGTCCCCTCACCCATGAGAAATACCTGGGCACAGAGAAGCCCTGGGGTGTCACACACGGATGGCCAGGAGGCTGAGCCAGGCCTGCTGAGGAAGAACAAAGCATGGCAACTGTCTTTCTTCACCACGTGACTCCACTTTGCAACCCTGAGGTCTGGGTTGTTCTAGAGTATTACTGTGTGCCCCAACAAGCCCTAAGCACGAGGGTCTGTCCTCTTTAAGCAGATAGGGATCCTGGCCTTTGCCTCCCTAAGAGTAGAGTCTCATCACTCCTTGCCCTCCACTTAGTTTCTGGGAACTGGGGCTTGGTTTCAAACACCTGGAAATTTTGTTCCTACTCCAGTTTCTAATCCCTTTATTCTTCTACCTACAAATTTAGGGAGGGAGATGAGGACCCCCGCAGAGGTATTACCACAACCTCAGAATAATTCTGCTTGCCAAATTATGTCTACATCTTCACCAGCTCACTGACCCAAGTTTAGGACCATTGGTACTTTTTGCTTAAAAACACATAAAGGAAAATTCTCGTGGATGCTGTTACACTGGAGAAGAGGCAGTTCTCCCTGCTGCTTTGTGCTCGGGCCTGTAGTAGTAAGGTATTCACTGTCTCTTCTGCCTTATCTGGGAATGACCAGGAATTACCCTCCTGTTGGCCTCTCTTCCCTTTATACAAAGACCAATCAGACCCCACTGGCCAACAAGTACAATAGTTGCTGATCTGAATTCTTGGTAATTTGGAAAGTAGAGGATTTGGTTCCTGTGTTGTCTTTCATTTAGTGTAGAAAATGGAGACTCTTCCTCAAAAATCAGTGCAATCTTGGGCGTTGGTTGGGCAGTGCTCATGAATCAAAGTTGAGACTGGAGGGAAAGACAAGGAGTGACCCATGAAGCTGGTTGGGAACAACAGAACCAGGGAAGGCCAGATCCCAAGTTCAGGTGCGACATACAATCCGCATGAGAACAGAAATTACCCATCCAGCTGCGGTTGGATTATCAAGGCTGGAGCTTAAGTGTATGAGAGAGGCCAGTTCTGTAGTGTTGCCTTTTTCAGAGCATGAGATTAGGCTCTGGTGTGCCTCCTTTTAATTGCTAGTATTCTAATTAAAAGCATTTGTCAATTCCTCTGCCTCCCAACTGACAACAAATTTATTTTCCAACTTTCCTAACATCCTAAACTTGTCTTCTGAGAGAACTAGAAGAGACAGAATTTGCTTTGTTTCTCAAGCAGATCTAGTTTTCTGACTTTACCCCTATTCTCTGTTCTCTGTCAACTGTGAAAGTGAGGGTAGACTCCTATTCCTCTCCTTTAAGGTCCCCAGGCCTGGGAGTGCACAGGTACTAAACCAAGCAGTGCAACTTGTAATTAAGCAGCTGCAGTGTTTACATGTTTCTTAATGTGTTGTCTTTCCAATGGCTGTATTTTAAAAGAAGAACACTTGTTTTAATGTCTAATTAAAGGAAGCCCCTGTGGCTTGGAAGGCATTGTGCCCATGGTCCACCAGATTCTGTGGTCTCTTCTGTTTTACACTGTTCCACCTCTGACACTCAGGGAAAGACACCCACCCTGACTCCAACACAGTGTCTGCTTTCTCAGTGGATAGCTCCTATTGAACAATGATGAGCACTTTATTAACCAGCCGTTTTAGACAAGTGGATGGCTGAAAAGTGAATTCACTTTTCAGTGATTGTCAGATTTTCCCCATCTGACAATCTATCCTGAAACCAATCATGGTTTAAACCTTTGGGACCCAGAGGACTTAAGGGGCCACTGAGGAAGGCAGGTGTAGAAAGACCAAAAGTTGGTTTTAGTGGGTGTTAACACAAGGGATTCAGCCTTGAATTCTTCTACTTGCTATGTAAGTATCAGCGATGGCAGAGGCTGATGGCAGGAAAGGTACCCTGCATCTTCCAGTGGCAGAAGGAGCCAGCCTGGATGGAAGAGATGTGTAGTGGAGTATTCTACCACACCCAATGCAGTCTTAGAAGAAAAGCTTTCAACTTTGATACTAAATATTTTATTTTAAAAAAAGTAACAAACTACCTTTGTACATGATCCCAGGTGAACAAAACAAGCAAGTTTTCTCACACTTTCTTTTGTGTTATAAAGGCTTGACTTTTTTGGAGTAATGGCTTATCCATTCCAGCAACAGTGCCTCAGTTAACTTAGTTCCTTTTCCTCCAGGCTCAAAATAAAGTCAAACTCTTCTACCCAAAAAAGGAAAAAAAAAAAAAAATTAGGTCTTATGTCTCCTCCCACACAAGGAGCAGGCATTTACTCATTCCAAATCTATGAAGTATTTTATCAATTGCCAAGCACTGTTAGAAACTGAGTATACAATAATGGGCAACTCAGAACAGACTCCCTCCCTCTTGGGTGTCACAGATGAGGACACTGACTCAGAGACAGTTTAATTAGCTAGTAAGTGTGAATTTATGGACATGTTCTGGGTAGGAATAAGGAAAAGGTCTCACTCTTACCTTGGGTCAAGGGCTGAACTGACAGTCTCTGGCGAGTGAAAAGAGCCATGTTTTTTAAGGGACCACCAGTAGCTTTGTGAGCCTGGTAGTAGGTTTTGAGTTCAGTGAGGGAGATGAAACGCTTCATCATCCGAACAAACTGTACATCCACCTACATGACAACAGTATATGAGACAGAAAGATATGTCTAGCAACACTCTTCCTGCTATTTGTTGTTTTTATCTTAAGAGATGGGTTTTGCTATGTTGCCCAGGCTGGCCTCAAACTCCTGGGCTCAAGGAATCCTCCTGCCCTAGCCTCCTGAGTAGTTGTGACTATGGGCACATGCCTCTGTGCCAGCCCAGAGTTTTCACTACTTGCAGGAGGCTCTCAGGGGCAGGACTGCCAATGTTCTGTTCTAATCTCCAGAGTTAGTGTAACTTCATCTGAGCAAGAGCTAGGTTATATTCCTTGACCTAACAGCACCCCACACTCTTCTCTCTTTATCCATTCCTCCCCTCTCATGGAATAGGAAGAAAAGTAGTCTTTACCATGGACCATTTGGGGTTGTCTTCTTTGCTGGATGGGTCATAATGGGGATTTTCTTTCTCAAACTGTGTATGGTCTGGGTAAGCCTCCTTTACAATCTGAAACCAAATCCAAAGTCTCCAATCATTTCAGCTCCAATCTTGAATACACATCTAACTTTCACTTCTTACCCTACACATTTACCCATCTCCCTTGCTACAGAGACAGTAAGTGCTCAAATGTCTGGAACTAATACATACCCCAAGGCAAGTGCAGTTAGGAAATCAGCCCTGTTTTGTTTTGTTTTGATGGTGGTACTGGAGTTTAAACTTGGCCTCATGCTTGCTAGGCAGGCACTCTACCACTTGAGCTACTTAGCCAGCTCTTGTTTGAGTTTAAACTCAGGCCTTCACACTTGAAGTTTTGGCAAAGCAGTTGCTGTATTGCTTGAGTCACACCTCCAGTCTATTTTTCTCTGGTTATTTTGCAGATGGGGGTCTCATGAACTATTTGCCTGGGCTGGCCTTGAACCTTGGTACTCCCGATCTCAGCTTACCAAGTAGCTAGGATTATAGCCATGAGCCACTTGCGCCCAGCTAAACCAGATAATTTTTTTTTTTTTTGGTGGGACTGGAGTTTGAACTCAGGGCTTCATGCTTGCAAAGCAGGCATTCTACCACTTGAGCCATACCTCCAGTCCAGCCCTGTTTTTATGAAGTCTTACAAGCATGTTCTAAAACTAAATGTTAAAGATTATTATTGGAACTACAGGTTTTTTTTTTCTATCAGCATAATTAATAATTTGATCCTGATAACTCTTAGGAGGAGCTACCATCAGTCTGTTTTTGAGTGAGAGACCAACACTTAAGAGACATAGAGATGTATGTTCTAGTAGGGTCTGAAATGAAGTATGACTTGTTCTAGTCCTTACTAACTGACCCCTGAAGGAGTCAGGGCAGTTTTTTACTTTGTGCCTGGGACAGGGGGTATAGAAAGACAGTTTCTTCTTCTTTTTGTTACCTGTTGAAGCTGTATCCTTTACATGAGTAAGTCTCTCTAAAGGAAGAGGGTATGAATCCCAAAACCTGTCCACCTAACCTTCATAAGTCCCACGATGCCTGGCTCTTTGCAGTTGCTATGGTAGAAGAAGGCTTCTTCCTCCAACTTCATGGCTCTAAGGAAGTTCCGAGCCTGTGCCAGGGGAGAAGGGTCAAGGATTATCCTCCCCATCAGCTGGGAAGCACTAGCTTTGAACAAAAATTAAATCTGTTTTTAGTAGATAGGTTTTTCCATTTTGTAGCCTCCCCCCTCAATTCATTACAAAGTCTGTCCCCTTTACCAAAACTCCCAGACTTGTATAAGGACATTGGCAAAAAACAAGGACTTGGAGATTTCATGCAGTCAGAGTAATTATGGTATTTTTGTAAAACATTTTCAGGTTAGGATTCTGGGAAAAGCAACCTAGGCCAAGAGGTTCTGTTACTAAGTCCTAAGGAAGGGGCAGACATTTATCCCACCCAAGGTTTCAGGGGTCCCTTACCTGGTAGTTGCGAACCCCATCCCAGCATGCTGTCTGCTTGGGCTGTGCTTTGAGATCCTCAATGCTGAACTAGGCAAGAGAAAATAAAGTCATTCACTAAACAATCCTTGGTCAGCATATATGGAAGCAGAAAATCCCTCCCTAATATTGAGAGATGCTCCAGGCTATAATGGAAATAAATAGTTTACTAAGAAGTAGCTCCACAGAACCACTGATGTTGAATGAATTTAAACCCTGGGGTTATCTTATCTTCACTAATTAAGGGAATTTGTTGAATGGATAATCCAGATGATAAAGCAATCTGCTGGTTCCCTGCATTTTACTCATCAAAACATTATTTGTTTCTTCTATATTTCTACTTATTTTTTCTGCAGGCTGTTATTAAAATTGGTTTACGTCTACTCTCTGATTATATACAAATGTTGGCAGAGAGACACCTAAGAGTATGGCAAGTGGTAAGAGAAAAATCAAGCTAGCCCTGGACATGGTGGTACACTCCTGTAATCCCAGCACTTGGAAAGTGAAGGCAGGAAGGTCATGAGTTCAAGGACAGCCTGGGCTACATAGTGAGACCCTGTCTCAAAAAAACAAATGAGGCAAAAAAATGAAAATAGAAAAAAAAATGAGCAAAGAGGCAAGTTACAGCCTTTAGGATCTAACTCCACACATGGTTATTAAAGTTTTACTTGAACACAACTACACGTTTGTGTATGTACTATCTATGGCCACTTTCTTGTTATAAGGGCAGAGTTGCAGCATAGACTATGAAACCCACAAGTCTGCAATATTTATGGTCAGTCTCTGCCTAGATAGAAGATTCGCGACATACATACAGGCTGAACATGCCTAGTCTGAAAAATGGAAATCCAAATGCTCTGAAATATGCCAATGCTCAAAAAATTTTGGATTTCTGATTTTTGGTTTATCGATATTCAGCCTGTAAAGTTTATACATGTATTCCACAATGTAAAAAAAATCTGAAACATGTCTGCTCCAAAACGTGATGGATAAGGGATACTTAACCTGAAGCTGATGGCAATAAATCTTGCTTATTTTATTCACTTCTACCTTTTCCTACTCTTCAAAGATAAGAAGCTGCTGATGGAATACTATGGTGTCCCACATTCATCTTACATTTTAAAAAATAGCATGAAGGCACTGGAGACAGGTACAGTCTCACCTTCACATCTACACCTTTCTCTAGTCGGCTCTCTGGCTCTGACTTCATCAGCCAGTAGTTGCTTAAATTCTTCCCACAGTTTTTGGAGGCTGAAGTCTTCTGAGACCTGGAGTTCACCACTTCAGCCGATGCCTCATCAGAGTTCTCAGTTTTGGAATGTTTTCCTGATGGCCCCTTTTTATCTGCAATAGGCAAGCAAAATGAAAAGATCTATCATCTTTGCTAAGTGGTAATGTTCCATTACGGAAAAGCTTACCCTTTGTATAATATGTGGATTCAAATCCTGGATCCTAGAAGTACTAGCCACAGTACCTTAGTCCTTTTTTTTTTTTCTTTTTTTTCTTTTTTTGGTGGGACTGGGGGGTTGAACTCAGGGCTTTGTACTTGCAAAACAGGTGCTCTACCACTTGAGCCACACCTCCAGTCCATTTTCCTCTGGTTATTTTGGAGATGGGGTCTCACAAACAATTTGCCCAGGCTGGCCTTGAACCACAATCCTCCTTATCTCAGCCTCCCCAAGTAGCTAGGATTACAGGTACAAACCACTGGCACCTGGCAACACCTTAGTCCTGTAAGCAAGAAACCACTTTATCACTACCATGACAATTCATCCCTATAATCCTAGCTGTTTGGGAGGCTGAGATGGAGATCTCTGTTCCAGGCTTGAGACCCCATCTCAGCCAAGAAGAAGCTGGGTGTAGTGGTTCCCAGCTACAGGGGAAGCATAAATAGAAGAATGGCAGTCCAGGCCAGCCAGGGCATGGAAACCAAAACCCTATACCAAAAATACTCAAAGCAAAAAGGGCAGAGGGTATGGCTCAGATGGTAGTGCCTTTCTAGCAAGTGCAAGGCCCTGAATTCAATCCCCAAAACTTTAAATCCCTGCTTTAAAGTATATACTCTAGAGTATCTACTCAATGAGGTAAAAATGCATTATAGTGTTAAGGTGGGGTCCTGGTAGTAGTCGGTAAATGTCTCTTTCCTCACTCTCTTCTCTGCTTTTACTCAGGTGATTCTTTCCAATGCGAAAACAGCACCTACTTGGAGTTGTTTTAATGATTATAATAAAGTAATACAAACAAAAGACTTAGAAAATGCCTGGCACAAAAAATGCCCAGTAATTATTAGCCATCCACTATCTCATACTTCTTGCTCACAATACTTCATGCCCATCTACTTCAAGGAGTAGATAATGAACATGCCAAGAGAAATTGGAAAAAGTTTATTCAGGACCTTGTAGACATAATAAAGACTGATTTTTGCCTGAAAGAATTAGAGAAAATGAAGAACTGTTAAGTTCATACTATATGACAGGCCCCAAGCTATGTTTTAACCTAATTGTAGCTTAATTGATCAAGGTAACCTACATGAGATATTTTCATCTGGAATTATGTGCTCCAAATTACAATCCAATAATGGTAGAATCAAGATATAAAGTCAGGACCTGTCACTTGGGTCTGTCTGAATCAACTTAATTACTATACTGTACTACCTCAGAATTTAGTCTGTTTCTACATGGGTCATCATTAAGTGTCATTTCTGGATGTCTAATACTCTGAATTTAGCACACCTTCCTAGCACAATTTCCTACCAGTCCCTTCAAAGTTAATAGGCATAATGTAAATACTGTGTTGTTAAATAACTATAATAATGTGTTGTCATCAATCTGAAACTCTTGTCATTCCTAAAAGAGGTACTTTTTCTACCTCCCATTGCTTTATTTCTGCTCTTCATCCCCTGAGCATGCCATTTATCTCTGTGAATACAGAAATGACGTCGTGTGTTCAGTACTAGAACTTCACCTGTGCAAAGACTTCCCATTCTTTTAAGGCTGAACTCAAATTCCACTTAGTCCTCCCTCTCATACCTCTAACAATCCAGTCTCCCAGACTTTTTCACTTACACCTGTCTGCATTTTCCTATTGATTTATTTTTCAGAACTTGGTTTCAAACTCAGAATGTCACACTTGCTAGGCAGGTGCTCTGACAATTTGAGCCACACTTCCATCCCTTTTTGCTCTGGTTATTTTGGAGAGAGGGTCTTGTTTTTTTTGCGCAGGCCAGGCCTAGACCACAATCTTCCTATTGTATGCTTCCTACCACAGCCAGGGTGACAAGCACACATCCAGCTTTTTTGGTGACATGGTGTCTCGCCAACTTTTTCTGCCCAGACTGGCCTGAAACCATGATCTTCCAAATCTCGGCCTCCCAAGCAGCTAGGACTGTGAACCACCAGCACCCAGCTTGCATTTTCCCTTGGAAAAGGAATTGTGTATTTTCCCCACCTTTTAATTAATTTACTTTTTTTAATTTAAAATTTTAACTGATACATAAAACATAAAGTTGTACTATTAATGGGGTCCAAGTGATTTTCAGGCTGAAAAATTTATCTTCTGAAACATTTATAGTTTCTTTATGGTAAAAACATTCAAAATCCTTTCTTCCAGCTTTTTTAAATACACAGTACGTTATCATTATCTATGGTCACCTTACTTGTGCCATACCACACCAGGACTTCTTCCTTCTAGTTACAGCTTAGTAGCCTTTCACCACTCTTCTCCCCATCCTTCCCACCCCACCCCTGGCAACCACCATTCTATTCTCAACTCCTATGACATCTTTTTTTATATTAACATGAGTGAGATCATTTTGTCTTTCAATGCTTTTGTTATTTCACTTAAAACAATGATTTCCAAGCCGGCGAAGAAGCTCAAATGGGAAGCTCTGAGTTCAAACCCCAGTACCGCAAATAAATCTCAGTACCTGCCTCTCTGTGCCGCATATCCTTAGTTGAGTAAACAAGCAAGGAAAAGGGTGGAAGTTCGGCGGGAAAAATAATGACAGAGGCTGGTGATGATGGGAGTACAAACATTAAAGACTTCAACTCTCAAGCAAATAGAAGAGGAACTTTTTTTTTTTTGAGACAGTATGCCCAGGCCAGCCTCCACCTCCCTAGTGCTAGGATTACGCATATGCACAACAATGCCCAACTTTAAAACGAACAGTATTGAACAGTCCCCAGAAAAACGTTCTTCAGGGGATGCCTTTTTGCAGCCTAGGGGCACCTCACCTGGGCCAGCAGCGCCAGCCAGCCTCTTCCGGGGTCTCGGCATGGTCTCTCTGTAGGGGGCCGAAGCAGGGAGGATTCTGGAATCAACCGGGAGACACAAGAAACCACTCTACTGTACTCCAAAACCTGAACGGAGCAAGATGGAGGCAAAAGAACCTCGGGCTGGCGAAGGACAGAGAAGTGCTTAATACCCTCGAGTTCTTCCCTCCGTAATCTTTGCCGTTTTTCTCGCACAAACGGACCCTGCTCTACTCGGTTTTGGATCCTCTCTCATCCGCTACTATTCTCCCTATACCCCAGCTCTGCACTGAGCGGACAAAGCCGGCGCCGCCTTCCGAAGCTGTATTGGGCAGCACGTCCGCGCGAGCGGTGTGGACGACGTGTCTTCGCAATGGCGGTCCCCGCCGTGTGGTTCTCTGGGAGTTGTAGTCCCTGTGCCCCGAAAATCCGCCTGACTTTCGGCCCATGCGGCCTCTGTGAACTACAACTCCCAGAGTGCATCGGGGCAGGGGTCGTCGGACCTCAGGTCCTGGTCAGTGCGGGGGCGGGCGAAGTATAACACTCAGTCTTGACTGGGACTGGAAGCATGGCGACCTTGCAGCTTGGCTACCTGTGCATCCGAGCGCGCCTCCGCTGCTTGCGCGGCAGTCTTCGGGTCCCCATCCAGACTGGCTCTCGGACCTTGACCTGCATCGATCGTAAGGCTTGCGCTGGGGTGGCTGGAGCGGGGCGCGAGCGGGACACAAGTGGGACTCTGGCGGGCCACCCCGAGGGACCCAAGTCTCCATCTCCCAGACCGCCCTCTCCCCGCGCCGGCCTGCTCCCTGCTCCTTCCTGTCACCCCCAAATTCTTAGAGAGGTGAAGGTAGTTGTGACTTTTTTATTTGTTTGTGTGTTTGATTGAGTGGTTAAATGTTAGCAGTAGATTCTAAATGTAGTGAAAACCCGAAAAGCTGGGTGCTGGTAATGGCAGATGAGCACACGCTCCAGCTAATACAACATGATGGTGTTCACATATGTAGTAGATTTCATAACGTAACACCTGTAGGCATAAAACATTTGTGTTGTTGAAACTCCTATAGGAAGAATATTGTTGCAATTGAGAAACTGCACCAGAAATTACAAACCTGAGTATCTTTAGGCACTAGACAGATAATTTGAATGTAACAACCAGTGTGTACCACTTACCCTACCAGTTTGTGAGTTCTGTCAGTCACCTAACCACTCTTTTTCTTCTGAAATAATTTGTTTATTTTAAATAAGGGTTTTCTTGATGGCAGAATGAACCAGAGGTTGGTAACAAATCTGTAAAAGGAGACTAAAGTATAAAGTACTGTTTTTTTCTGGAGTTCTAAAACTCCTTCAAGAGATGCTGCCTCAAAACAAATATGAAGACCAGTGGAACAGAATAGAGGACCCAGATATGAATCCATGCAGCTATGCCCACCTCATTTTTGACAAAGTCGCCCAAAACATAAGATGGAGAAAAGACAACAAATGTTGTGGGGAAAACTAGTTATCTGTGTGCAGAAAAATGAAATAGATCCATGTGTTTCACCCTGTACAAGTATCAACTCAAAGTAAGATAAGGACCTTAGTATGAGACCTGAAACCTTGATGCTAGTGCAGGAAAGAGCAGGGAATACACTGGAATTAATAGGCATAGGCAATGACCTCCTAAATAGAACTCAAATGGCTCAACAACTAAGAGAAAGGATTGACAAGTGGAACTACATGAAATTAAAAAGCTTATACACAACAAAAGAAATGGTCACCTCAGATCAAAAAGACAGAATAAGAGAAAAATCTTTGCCAGCTATATATCTGACAAGGGATTAATAACCAGAATATACAGAGAGCTCAAAAAACTAAACTCCAGAAAAATTCAATGACCCAATTAAGGAATAGGCAAATTAACTGAACAGAGGAAGAAGTAAGGAAGAAGTTCAATGGCCAAGAAAAACATGAAGAAATGCTCAACATCCCTGGCCATAAAGGAAATGCAAATCAAAACCTTAAGATTCCACCTCACTCCTGTTAGAATGGCTGCCATCAAGGACACAACAAATGTTGGCAAGGATGTGGGGAAAAAAGAGACCCCTTATACACTGCTGGTGAGAATGTAAATTAGTACAACCACTATGGAAAACAATATGGAGGCTTCTCAAAAAACTAAAAATAGAACTGCCATATGATCCAGCAATTCCACTCTTAGGGATATACCCAAAGGAATATAAGTCAGTTATAATAAAGGCACTTGCACACCATGTTTATTGCAGTATTATTCACAATAGCTAACCTATGGAAACAGCCAAGATGCCCACTACTGATGAATGTATTAAGAAAATGTAGTATTTATATGCAGTAGAATTTTATTCAGCCATAAAGAAGAATGAAATTTTGTCATTTGCATAATGGAACTGGAGAACATCATGTTAAATAAAGTTAGCCAGATTCAGAAAACAAAGGCTACATGTTTTTTCATGTATTCATATGTGGAATATAGAGCCAATACAAATACAAGCAATATTATGAAAAACAGGCTACACTAAGGAGAGGTCACATACAAAAGAGGGAAGGTAAAAGAAGGAAGTTAAGAAAGTGAATATGGATTATATAAAATACATGTGAATATTAAGAATGGAAAGACAATGAAAATGTCTCATGTTCAGTTATTCACGTTCATTTGGAAAATCCTTTTGGTGTAATACCTCAGATGTTTCATTGTTTTCTTATGGCTGTTAACCTTTGGCACATAATGGAGGATGCTTTTAAATGTACAGGTAAAGGTAACAGAAGAAGGAAAGAAGGGTTTAGGGAAATACAAAGAAGGTAAAAGGAGAAAGGTAGATTGAGAGAAGGAACGATAAGTTGGTAGATAAGGGGAAAAATCAATAAGGAGTGAATGGAATTTAAATCAGCCCTCCATTTTCAAGAAAAGTTCGAAAGGATGAGGTTTGGAAAGGGATAGCATGATTACTGACATGCTATACTGTAAGATACTTTACTTAGCTCCAGTTTGCTATTTTATGCAATAAAATTTAAAACTTTACTAATTTGTAACTTGGACAATTTATGTTTGTTTTGCAAGTGGTACACAAAATTGTACATATTTCTCCATGGTTCTGCAATGAAGTTAGGAATAAATATTACATGAATATCATTTGGTTAGTTTTGATATGAGTTACAAAAGCAACCATGTAAATTGCAAATAAAATTACAAAGAGAGAGAGAGAGAGAAGTGCTGTCTCCATCTGCACTATTAAAACTTCACAAGCAGGTTGATACAGACGCTGATAAAGAGTTGTCCTGGCAACAGAGAAGTTAAATATGAGTATTTCCAGCAGCTAGTGCTTTAACTTCAGCTATTGAGACTCTCTTTTACCTTTTATTTAAAAAAAAAAAAATCTTGTAGTCAAGTTAAAGAAAATTGTCTAATTGTCTGTCAGGCCACTTGATGGGCTACAAAGTGTAGCTTAGTGGTGGAGCACCTATGGAGCCTACTTAAGGCTCTAGATTCAATCCATCCCTAGCACTGGAAAAAAAAAAACAAATTGATGATTAACATACATATCTAATTGCCGTATTATGTGTTTTAAAGTTAAATAATTTTAAGAGAATTGGTATATATATTATATATGTTTATTGTATATAATCTGTTCATTTCATAGGTGAGATAATTTGCTCAGCCTCCTCATTTTACAGTGGGATAACAGGTTTAGAGATTTACTGAAGGTTGCACAGCTAATCCTTTCAGAGCCAGTGCTCAAAATCCTGATTCCTCTTTTACTACAATTTGCTACAGCTCTCAAGTACTCTTTTGATACACAGATGATACACACGAATTTTAGCTGTTGAGGGTTCTTAGATCTGCTCTGAGAATGAAAGTAGAGGCAGACTCCAGCAGCAGAGGTCAGAAGAATTTTATTTGTAGAGAAGAGAAGAGAAAGACTGCATGGGTACATGCTGTGGGACTGGAAACTGGTGGTCCCATAGGTCAGGTTGGAAATTGGGTTTTTATAGCCTTTTTCATTGCCTGAGGGCAGAGATATCTCTCAGATGCCCAGGCTAGCTTCAAACTTGTGATCCTCCTGAGTGCTGTGATTATAGGAAATCACCACAATGTGTAGTTTTAATTTACTTTTTAATTTGTTATTTCCACTTCTTTTTTCTACAAGTAATACTCTCCTTTTGTTGATCATTCCTTTATCTAAAATTGACTGTTACTTGGTATTTCTCTAAAAAGAATGTATAATTATATTGTGTTTACTTACATATACGATTTGAATAAAGCCATTCCCTATTATTTGCTTAGAATGCAGTTCTCATCTTAAAACCTTTGGTTATTTGAACTAGTTGCTTAGAAGATACATTAACATACATTGAGCTCTTACTAGTATTAAAATTCTATAGCACTTCTCTTTATGCTATGTTTGCATTATTGCCATTCATGTCATCCTTTTTGTGAATTAGCCATATTCATATTCATCTTTGTAACTCCAGAAAATATCTGCATAGTAGATACTTAATAAATATTCTTTTGTGTGTGGTGGGGGATTCTGGGGATGGAACCCAGGGCCTTGTGCATGCTAGGCAAGTGCTGTACCTCTGAGCTACACCCCAGCTTCCGATTCTTTTTTTAAAAACAAGTTTGCTATACACCCCTTTTTTTCAGTGCTGGGGATCAAACCCAGGGCCTTATACATGCCCAACAAGTATTGTACCACCCAGACCAATAAATAGCTTTGGCAAATCGTCTTTGAACAATGATCTTTAGCAGCATTTCTGCAAGATTGCATGAAAAAAATGACTTGACACCCCTGCCCCCAGACAGGCAACTTTGAATTCTTTATCCCTAACGATATTCTTAACAGTGATGCCATACGGTTCTGTTGTGGAATCCTCACAGCTCTTCCTTTCCAAGTTTCCCATTTAATGAGAGTAATGGTCAAGTTTGCCCCAGAGGAACAGACTCTGCAGCCCGGACTGTGTTCTGTCAGAAGAACTGTGTACCACTATTAGGCACTGAAGTAAGTTGTTGGGTTTGCTCATAGTCATCCTTCTGTGCTCATTGGCATCACTCATAATGGCATACATTTTAGCATTGAAGGATGATGTCTTAGAAGGCAATGCAGAGTCTCTGTGTGTCCCCTTCCACCTTTTCATGTTCACAGGCAGCACTGTACCCCTAGGTTTCACTGTGCCTCCAAGTGTAGGCACACACCCTTTCTTTAGTTTTTCTTGGTACACCTAAGGCAGATGTTCCTTTCACAACAAAAGAGAAAAAATTTGAACAATGTAGGTCTGTCTGGTCCTATGCAAGTTGGTGATCCTACTTCAATATGACAGCTAGAATTTATTATCCTGTCCTTTCTAAATTTCCTATACTAGTCCCAAAAGGGACTTTTCACAGGAGCTTTGCCTTAAGTTCTTTACTCTAGCTTCTGGCCTATCCTACCTGGAAATTTGCATCATCTTGCAACCTTTCTTAACTAGTCTGTGGATTGGAAGCTGCACTTTGCAACTTCATCCTACCTTTATGCAGTTTTGGAGAATGTGTATGGAAATTAAATTCTGTGTTATGCAACTAGGGGATTAGGTTCTGTATATTGAAAGTTGAATGGCCACTCTTTTTAGTGTAGGTAGACGTCTTCCCTCTGAAGTACTGTTACAGTGTGATCTTTTGAAGATCTTCAGAAGTTTCTAGAGAAACTTTTCTCAGTGAATCTAATCGGCACTGTTTGTCTGTCAGTATCATGCTGTCAATTCATTCTCCTTAGCTTTATTTATCAACACTAATAGTTAAGATAGAAAACTTTTAAAGAAGCCTGTTTTCACTGGGTAAAAACTTGTATCTATTAAGGCCTTAATTGTGTTTCAGTACTAGAGGGCTTATTTTCATCATCCATTATCCATGAATGTCTGGTTGACCTGCCAAATAAATGACCTTATTAGTCACTCTTTTCCTTAATTGGAAGGCAAGCCAAAGCACACGGATTGTGATTTCTTTATTGATGTTTTAAAGTGAATATTTGGGGCTGGTGGAGTGGCTTAGGTGTTAGAGCACCTGCCTAGCAAGTATGTGTGGCCCTGAGTTCAAACCCCAGTACTGGAAAAAAATATAGATAGAATATGTTGATGTGTTGATGGAAGTAGATGGGTACAGCTAGATAGTCAGGATAAGGAGTTTCTAGGATACTAATACAGAAAATGTAAGACATATCAAAAGAAAAGAAAAAAAACATTTACTGTAATTTGAGGACTAGTATGTTTTTTGGGTTTTGCGGGGAGCTGTGTTTTGGTTTGCATTTTGAGGTGGTGGGTTCAAACACAGGGTCTGAGGCATGCTAGGCAACACTGTACCACTGAACCATATCCTCAGTCCTTCATTTTTTCTTTATATGGTTTACGAGGAGAATTGGGTAAATATTTTTTAAAAATAAATAGGTAAATAAAGTTGGCTGATCCATTTAGGAGTGAAGGAAGAGGAAAATGGTGATGGTATTTGTTTAGTTAGTATCTTTACCCATCCTGTTCCTTTCATTCTCATCCTGTTTGCACCCCACTTCTGCCCTAATTCTTTCACTGTGACCTCAACCTGTTTAGGGCTGCAACTGTGGCTTAAATAAGAGATGTCTGGAAAGTTGGCTTGAAATGTCTTAGGTTGATGTGGGTGATAAAATTGTCCCTTCTTCATCTGAGAAACAAATTCTCTATTCTCTTGTTGTTAAAGGCTATACTGTGCCTGGGAAATTTACTGTATCTAGGTCTACTTTCTCAGCTTTGTGGTGCTGTTTATTGGTGATACTCTTCTCTGACCTCCATCCTAGAACTAAATATGTGTGATCCTACCCACAGCTTCCATGGGACTAAATGAGGATCAGAAAGGATATCAGAAAGTGGCCTTGGATTTTGCTGCCCGGGAAATGGCTCCAAATATGGCAGAATGGGACCAGAAGGTAGGAGTCTTCCTTGTGGCTAGATGTTGCAAGTGCAACAGGCAGTGACCCTTATCTTCATGTCCTTGTAATTCTAATTGCTCAGTGTTTTTTCTCCACTTACTAACTCTTCCTGCAAGTAAGAAGACTGGTAATAAGTGATTATTCTTATCGAAGACATCCTGATCATTTCATCCATAGCTTTTTTCTTTTTTAATTGAAGGAAGATTTGGACATACTTATAGCCAAGACAGCTCTGTAGGGAATTCTTAAAGAACATGTTAACTGATAAGATGACAAAGGTATTTATATATGTGTATGTATATATGTATATGTATATCTTCTTATATTCCCAGATGCAAACATTCTAATCTCATCATTGTCCCCTCTAAAGGAGTCTTATCTCTGAATTAGTACTTGATGGCCCTGTTCTCTATTTTTATGGGTAGGAGCTGTTTCCTGTGGATGTGATAAGGAAGGCAGCCCAGCTGGGCTTTGGGGGAGTCTACATCCGAACAGACGTTGGTGGCTCTGGACTGTCGCGACTTGATGCCTCTGTTGTCTTTGAAGCCTTGGCTACAGGCTGTACCAGCACCACTGCCTACATAAGCATTCACAAGTGAGTGCCCACATGGGTTGCCTGAGAAGTTTCAGATCAGGAGGAAAAGATTAATGGTGTCAGGTAGATTGTCCTTGATGCACTAAATTGTTAATAGTACACACTGGATCTGCTCTGCCTGTTGGAGATTCAGTTGTCTTGTACATTGCTTAGACAGTTAGGTGTACCAGGCTTCCCAAATTCTAGATTGGGCTGGTACCAGCAGATTTGTCCAGTAGAGTGGTCAGGATGCTGTCACCCTTTTCCACAGTCCACAGGTGAAGCCTCCAGCAATTTGAGAAAGTAATTGAAAGTATATGTACCTCTGATTTCTGTGGGCTTATTTAACCTGCTTAGAAGTAGTCTGAACATCCAACTGAGAAATACCTAGGCCTAGTTACCTCTGGGTAGTACATAGTCCAGGAATATATTTTAATCCAGTCCTTTTCTTTTGAGTTGAATCTTCTCATTTGTGACACTTTCCTTCTTACCCTGTCTTCTGTTTTCTCACTCTGCTTTGCTGTCCTTTGTTCTCTCCCTTCACCACCCCATTTCCTTTCTGTTGTCATCTCTGTCGATGTCTTTTCTTGGTATACCAATCAGCATGTGTGCCTGGATGATTGATAGCTTTGGAAATGAGGAACAGAGGCACAAATTTTGCCCACCGCTGTGTACCATGGAGAAGTTTGCTTCCTACTGCCTCACTGAACCAGGTGGGTTTGTGATCCCCACAGATGAGATCTCTAAGGGAGAGAGATGGAGCTCATATTGACTTATTGCGAACTCCTGGCCCATTGACACACAACCACTATTTACCAAGTGGTTTGGTTGTGGAGTAATAAGAGTCCCATAACTTAATGTCATGGGTAACCAGAGCCCTTTAAGTCAGAGTCCCTCCCAGCTGCAGGCCACTGCTAGCTGGTGTGTTGGGAGTGGGGACAGTGCTCTGCTTGGTGCAGGCTATTTTTGCGGAATACAAAGAATGCCTTTGGCCATGCAGATTTTAAAGTAGTGCCTACTGAACTCTTTCTCAGAGAGATTTCCTAGGAGATGGAACCATGCTGGGCTCATTTGATGTCTTTGACTTCCTCATCCCCTCTCTGCTCCCTTTTGATCCCTGCTTTAGGAAGTGGGAGTGATGCTGCATCCCTTTTGACCTCAGCTAAACGACAAGGAGATCATTACATCCTCAATGGCTCCAAGGTACCAGCATGCTACCCTTCCAGAGCAACTTGTAACACTTTCTTCCCAACTTCCCCCTGGGTCCTTGAGTCTATCAGTTAATATTCTCATGGAAGTTTCTCCTTATTGAGCCATTTCTCTTTAGTCACCTTCATTGTTTGTCTTTTATGACCTGATTGCTGATAATTTCATTCTTTCTATATTCTTAACCACTTAATCCTTGATTCAGCAATCATTGCATTTGAGAACACCTGTCCATGGGCTTAGTGCCATTACACCTTTTTCCTATTTTGGGGAGGACTCCACTGATTTTCCCAGATGCTAGACTCAGAACTCATGGATCATCTCATCCCCATGCCCCTTCCCACAGGCCTTCACCAGTGGGGGTGGTGAATCAGACATCTATGTGGTCATGTGCCGAACTGGAGTATCAGGCCCCAAAGGCATCTCATGCATGGTTGTGGAAAAGGGGACCCCTGGCCTCAGCTTTGGCAGGAAGGAGAAAAAGGTGAGTAGCTCTTTTACAGGAAACAATTCAAGTTATGAGGTTCAATCACCTGTCAGATCAACCCCTGCCCTATTTCATAAAATAGGCTTCTGTACTAATTACCTACTCTTGGAGCAACTGCTTCTATTAGGATTTTTGTAGGAGACATATAGGATAAACAGGCATTGTTGAACCCTAAGCTTCTGGAGAAAGTGACAGTTTAATGGTAAATTTCACAAGTTGCCTATTATTTGAGTTTTAGTACCTCTCCTGCCTCCACTTTTGGCCTAAACTTTTTATCCAACTTCTTTTCTTGTACTTTGTTGCCTAGGAAGACATACTTTTAGAAGATCTGATGGTCAGTGTTTGTCTTTTCCCTACACAAGACCATTTAATGATTTGTATTATGGCTATTTTATCTTTGACCCTCAATTTCCAACTAATTTTTGTTTGCCAAATTTGTAACTAAGTACTAAAAATGGACAAAGTAGGTAAAGGAATGAATACCTGCATTTGTAAATTCAAGAAGTATTTTTCCTCTTTTCTTTGGTTTCCAGGATTTCTTACTCTCTTACTTGATAGAGAGGTTGTTAACATTATTTATTCATGTAATATCATAAGTAATTGATAAAATAAAATACAATTCTTTAAAGTCATTTTAAATAAACGATATGATAGAAAGCATTGATGTTATAGAAAAGGGAAAGAATTATTGAAACTTGGTCTTGAAATTGCCTTTTCACCAAGCACAACTACATGTACCCATGAATTTACTATTGCTTTTACCCTCAAGCAAAAGTTAGTTAAGGATAATAAAATCAATACTCAGCTGTTTGTAGGTTGGGTTACTATATGTAATTGAAATGTATTTTCTGTAGTGTAATATTTTTATAGTGAAGCAGCCAGAATTCCACAAATGCATAGCACGAGCTGCAAGCATTCAAACCCTTCCAGGCATTTCTGTGGCTTGGCATTGATAAATGCAGATAACCTACAGGCTGCAGTTAGGATCAAATTACAGCAAACACTACTTTTTCCAAAAATCTAAGAGTTGCTGAAATAGCTTCCTTATAGCTTTGGGAGGGAATACCTGTCCATCAACAAACTGGGCCTTCAGAACAAGGTCTTGCAATTGTATCTTTTCAGTAGGCACAATGTCTGGGCAATGTTCCACAACAAGTTTGAGTGGTGAGCACCAGTGCACATTATGACATCCTTCTTTTCTAATGCATTTGTATTCTTAGTGGTATATTTTTGTCTGATACCAAATCAGTAAGATAATTCCTTAATTCAGAAATCACCAAAAAGAAAGAAGACCTATGTATACATATGTACCCCAGAGAATCATTTTCTAGGCCCACTTAAGAACAACATCTTTCCCTTAAATGGTTTCCCAATATATAAACATAATTTATAATCATACAATTTGTTCATGGTTTTTTCTTTGTATTTTTCCACTAATTTCTAAGTAGTTTGGTTACATCTGACAACACCATGTAGCTTGGAAAACACAGTGTACATATGATATGGGATTATTTAACATAAGATAAACCTTTTTAAGATTGAAAAAATAATAGAGCCTCTGATTTTTTTATTTAAAAAAAATTAAAAACAAAGAACTGATGACCAGAAGTCTCAGGAAGGAAAGGCATATGGGCCAGTTTTCTTCTTCAAAAAAAAGTAAAGTAAAACTCATTTCGGGGAGAAGGGATTGTGGGTATTTAAGAAACCTAAGGTACTTTGAAAAATAATTCCTAGGATTAAGAAACCCCATAGTCATGCCATGAACAAGAGTCCTGTGATAAGGTACCGTAACTGATGAGAAGGATTTTTTAGATCAGGTGATTAAAATAGTCATTTACTTCCAGTTGGTACTGCTATCCTTAGGACCTTTGAAGAGAAATCAGGTAATGAAATGACCCCTAAATACTTCTCTACATCTCCTAGGTTTTCCTGCATGATGCTTCCTGACCCTTAGTAACTGCCAAGGAGTTTAAGTGATCCCTTCTCTTTTGTAACATAACAGGCATTTATTACATGCCTATGCATGTGCAAAGCCCTATGCTAGCTCTTGGAGGGGGTGGTTTACAAAATTACCAGTTATTATTAACATGTTTGGGATTATAAGATATATGCTGCTTTATCTATATAAAATCTCTATAGCTGGGGTGGTAGCATATGCCTATAGAATCCCAGCACTTTTTTGTGGTACTGGGGTTTGAACTCTAGGCTTCAAGCTTGCAGGGCACGTGGTCTACTGCTTAAGCCATGTCTCCAGCCCTTTTCTGTGGCTATTTTGTAGTTAGGGTCTCACCTTTTGCCAAGGCTGACCTGGACTGCACTCCGTTTTTACACTCCCCCCCAACAGCTTGGAAGGCAGGTATATGCCAGCATGCCCAGCTTTTTTCCATTGAGATGGGGGTCTCATGAACTTTTTGGCTCGGGCTGGCCTGGAACTGTGATCCTCCTGATCGCAGCCTCCAAGTAGCTTGGGATGACAGGCGTGTTCCACTGTGCCCAACTGTTGGCTGAGGTGTGGTCTTATGAACTACATGCCTGGGCTGACCTCGAACTGTGATTCACCCAATCTCAGCCAGGCTTAAGCTAAACTTTGATGGAGGTTGGGAATGAGAACTTCCAGTGGAGGGAGCAGAGTAAGTCAGAGTGTAGGTTTAAAAGCACTTGATGTGGGCCAACTTCCTGGAGTGGAGGTAAGAAAGAAGGCCCTATGTAGGGATTAGGAAATGATAGGCGGCCTTAGAAAAAGGTTTATCTTATTAATTAAAGATAAGTATTGAATTTTGTTTTGTTTTTGTTTATTTTTTTGTTTTGTAATGGTGGGCATTACTCATGCTAGACAGGCACTGTACCTCTGAGCCCTATCTCTAGTCCTGTTGAATGTTTTTATATGAGGGAATGATGAAAAAGCAATAGTGTTGGGGCTGATCAAGTGGCTAAAGTAGTAAAGTGCCTGCCTAGCAAGCACAAGGTTCTGCATTCAATTCCTAGTACCAGCAAAAAACAAAAAAGAGAGAAAGGAAAAAATGAGGTGGGGGGGGTGTCTGGGTGCATGGCTGAAGTAATGAAGCCCTGAGTTCAATCACTAGTACCACCAAAAAAAAATAGTGTTTTCCAAGCTAAAACTACATTTTATATAGTTCATGGTTTTCATAATCTACCTTGCTAAGCCTTAAAGTTCTTTAAGTCTTGGAATACCTAGAGGAGGGTATGGTGGGAATTAAGTAGTGAAGATCTATATGAAACATCTGAATGAGATTTTGTTTGAAGAAAGAGGTTCTAAGCTGGGTGCTGGTGGCTTACACCTATAATCCTAGCTACTCAGGAGGCAAAGATCAGGAGGATTGTGGTTCAGAGCAAGTCCAGGCAAATAGTGAGACCCTATCTTGAAAAAAACCCTCCACAAAAATAGGGATGGTGGAGTAACTCAAGATGAAGGCCCTGAGTTCAAGCCCCAGTGCTGTCAAAAAAAGGAGGGAGGGAAGGAGGAAGGAAGGAAGAGAGGGAGGAGGAGAGAGGAAGGGAAGGGGAGGGGAGGGAGGAGGAAGGAAGGAAATAAGTTAGTTCTACTGGCTTTCTGGTTCAACTCCTATACTTTATAAAGGGAAAAGGAAGGCCATAAAGAAGCCAAATGATTTGTCTAAAGATGAAAATTACAACTAGGTAGTTGCATGATGTGGACTACATCTCAAATATTAAGGATTTTCTCTGGGCATATGGCTGACATAGCCAGTGCTATCCTGGTAAACAGCTCTCTGGGAAAAACAAAGCAAAACAAGAAACTTATTTTCGTGTTGTTTGCTAATTTCTATGGTATGAGTGCTGTCCTCGTCACTGACTTCAAGCCATCCAGTGATACCACTGAACGCTGAGTTAGGACAAAAGGTGTATGGTTCACCCTTGAGAACTGCTATTAGCACACCACTGGATCTCTCTGCAGCCAAATACTAGACCAGGTGTCACCAGCACAGTGTGTGTTATTCACCTGCCTTTAATTATACCACCTTTAGGAACTCTTCTACAAGAGGTGGCTTTGTTAACAAGGCCTTTAGAAGCAAACTAAACTTCAGCTGGTGTGTTGGCACACACCTATAATCCTAGTACTCTGGAGGGTGAAGCAGAAGGATTACAAATTAGAGGCCAGCCTAGGGTACCTAACGAGACCTTGTCTCAAACAACACCAAAAAAAAAACCAGTGTTTGTGGATAGGGTAGACCTTAGAAGGTAGATTCTTTTAATATGTTAAAAAAAAATGGCTGACCTTGTGAGTGTTGCTAGCCTTCCAATCTGAACTTTTTTCCTTTTCCTTGTTTTACATTCTGGGTTTGAGTCCCAGAATGCTGGACCCCATACTTCATAGGCTTCTGTCCACAAGGAAGGCTGCCCTGTGTCAGGGATCATTGGACAGCCACTAAGTCCCTGATTTTTGCCAGATGGGGTGGAATTCCCAGCCAACTCGAGCTGTGATCTTCGAAGATTGTGCTGTCCCTGTGGCCAACAGGATTGGAAGCGAGGGACAGGGCTTTCTCATTGCCATGAAGGGACTAAATGGTGGGCGGATCAACGTAGGTGAGGACAGAGAAAGGGGGACAGGGAGGGAATGGCTGGGGCCAGCAGCTGTCCTTCAAGCTCAGGTGAAGCTTGGGCTCTCTTCCTCTCTAGCATCTTGCTCTCTGGGGGCTGCTCATGCATCAGTCATCCTTGCCCGAGACTACCTCAAGATCCGGAAGCAGTTTGGAGCACCTCTGGCCAGTAACCAGGTAAGGCCCCAGATCCTTCTGCATTTGCTTTCCACTCTAGACCTGCTCTGGGGCCCACATTCTCTGGAAGATGGAGCCCACAATATCCTTTGTGGAGCTTTCCACAATCTAGGTCAGAACCTGTGTTTTATATCCACAATTGATCATTTCAGGATGCAGTAATACCAAGTGGAGGGCAGATAAAGTGGGCTTAGGATTTACAAAACATTAAGTTTTCTCTGTAGAGGAGGCAGGAGACTTTGAAGCACAAGGTTACTTAGAAAAGGCACTAGAGATGTTTTATCAATGGTCCCAGGTTAATGCCTGTCTAAGCCTCTCTTGTCTGGTTCTGTTTTCCACTATGGCTGTAGTACCTGCGATTCCAGTTGGCAGATATGGCCACACGGCTGGTTGCCTCTCGGCTGATGGTCCGCACTGCAGCAGTGGCTTTGCAGGAGGAGCGGGAAGATGCAGTGGCCCTGTGCTCCATGGCCAAGCTCTTTGTTACAGACGAGTGCTTTGCTGTAAGTGTTAAGTCCTGTGTTTCTCCTAGGTTGGACTGGGAACAGCTGCTAGATCCAAGGATATTGTGAGACATGTCAGCTCAAACCCCACTCAACCAGAACATGCAGGGATCACCTTGGGGCTTAAGGATGTAAATTAACTTGTGAGGATCCTGCATGGGAGTGCTCACAGCTGGCTTTTTAGCCTGCTCCGTGCTGGTACACGCTTCATAAGATCAGATGTGTTGTAAATGAGGCGCTACCTTTGCAACAAATTTAGCATTAGTTGCCATCTTTACATTGTCAGGGGCAAAGTCATTTCCACATTGAGGCTTCATTGCCACTAGACACCTGAGCATCCTATAATCCATTCAGGGTGACAGTAGACATCTTCCCAGCAGGTAATGAGAAAGGCAGAGTTTGTAGTTGTCTGTCTGGTGGGAACTGATAGGCTCAGTAGGAAGACTTCCTTGTCTTTTGCCACATAGACCTTAGTGGTTGTGTGTGTGCTGTTCTTCCTCTCGTAGTTTATTGTAGGCTGCCAGATTGGGGCTGGAATGGGCAGGGAAGCCAAGTACTCCAGTTTTCCTAGAACCAAAGACATCTAATCCTGTTGCCCTGCAGATCTGCAACCAGGCTTTGCAGATGCATGGAGGCTATGGCTACCTGAAGGATTATGCTGTTCAGCAGTATATGCGGGACTCCAGAGTCCACCAAATTCTAGAAGGTAAGAATTGCCAGAGCTTGTCCTCTTCACCACAGTTACAGGATCAGTGCTTTTCCAGCCTGAGTCTGTGCTGGTTGGCCTTAGGATCCCACCAGGCCTTGTCTGTCTTTTGCATTCTTCCTTTCTTTATTTCCTCAATTCTTGGTCTGGAAGTGTCCTGTGGCTGCATTAGAAAGAGTACTAGCAAATACTAGCCTGGGAGTCAAGAAACTCTGCTTTGTTCCCATGGGTGAGGCATCAAATCATTCCACTTCTGCTCTTTCTTTGTGGATTTGAGAGAAAGTTGAAACTGAAACAGCATATCAAAAATCCTGTTGAAAATTACATCAGTGACTGTTCTTTACTGTTACAAAACCTGGTCCTCAGGGATCCCAGAACTTCTGATACAATTATTTATAAGGCACATGTGAGCCCATATGATCACCAGCAGCTCTGCAGGTAGATTATTAGCTGCATGGCCTAAAAGATGTCTGTACCAATATTGCCAGTAGGTTTTTCAGTAAAGTAAATTGTCAGTATCTGGGTTTCTTCTTGGTAGCCACACACATCCCATCTGAAAAATGTGTGAGTTGTCACACGTTGAGCTGTCACAGTATGTAAATCTTGAAGTAATGCTTTTTTTTTTTGCAATACTGGGTATTGAACCCAGGGGCTCACACTTACTAGGCAAGAACTCTATCACATGAGCTATATCTCTAGCCCTTTAGATTTTATTTTGTTTTTGATGTAGGATCTTACTAACTTTGCCTGTATTGACCTCAAACTCATGATCCTCCTGCCACCACCTCCCAAGTACCTAGGACTACAAGTGTGTGCTGATACACCTGCCTTAAAAGACACAACTTTTATTCCAGCTAATGTAGGTAGCTGGAGCTATTTCAGTAGAGACATAGGAGAAGCCTGTGAGCGTTTGCCTCCTGTCTCTTCCAAAGCATCCTTCTCAAGCCTGAGCAGGCACCAGAGCCCTCTTCAGGGCTTATTGAAACAGATTCCTGGACCGCACCCCCAGGTGTCTGTGCCATTGGGTCTAGCTTGGGCCTGCAATTCACATCTACAACAGGTTTTTAAGGGAAGACTGCCTGCATGTGTGGAAACGACTTTGAGCCTATATCCCTGTGTCTGAATCATAGGTTTTCAAAGGTTAGTCTTCTACCACCCACCTCATCTCTGTTTATTGAGCTCAAATTAAATTCCCCAAAATTTTATGAGCCTGAGAAACTTCGCCTTTCTTTTAAAGACTGTCTTATAAACCTGCTCTATCTGTTAAGTGAGAAAAGCCAAACTTATTTATTGCAGGTCATATCATCATCCGCTTACAGAAAAATTAGGGGACTGGTCACTTTATCACTTTGTTTCATTGTGGATATTGGATAAATCTGAAATTAGTAGATTTGGCTTTATTTGAGATTGTGTGATTGCTCATTCCTGAAGGGGATTTATATTTATGTTTATACTAAAGACCATTGTTAAAAATGAAACAAGCAATTAATTCCCTCCATTCATGGAAAAATGTTTTCAGTTTGATTGCCAAAGAAATGTGCATTTATTGTTGAAAATTTATAAAATATATGAAAAGTTAAAGAAAAAGATCACTCATGATTCTACATCCAGAATTACTATTTTGTTATTTTTTCTTTTGGACTTTCTTCCATGCTTTTGTAGGTACACTGTTTTTTTAAATTAGTGTTATGTTGTTTTTATTGTGCAAGAATTTTTATCAGTAGAGGTTTTTAAAACACTTCTCATTTCCTGTACTTTAGAGAAAAGAGGTAAAAGCAACAATTCTAGTTTGAATCCATGACTATCTTGCTGCTACTAAATCCTTCCTTCTTTCTCCCTGTTGCAGGTAGCAATGAAGTGATGAGGATGCTGATCTCACGAAGCCTGCTTCAGGAGTAGCATGCCTGATGTTCTTGTGTGATGTTCATTGCAGCTGCAGTCAGTGTTGAGTGTTTCCATGAGGGCTGTTCGGTTCCAAATGGATCATGGAGTAGATCAAAGGGCTGAACTCTTCGAAGACGAGACCTGCACTGCATTGGCAGCAGTGTTGACTCATAGACTAGAGCAGAGACCTCGGTAGAACTGGAAAAGCTACCCTGATGAAACATGTGACAAGAAGACCTACCACCTTCTTATCCTAATACCAGAAAGACAACAGTGAATTCTAGTACCATAGATTTGTCTTTGATTCACATTATCTTGATTTGTCTGTATTTTGCTGGATCACTGGAATCTTCTCCTAGGGACCTGGGTGCTTCCATTGAAGCTTTTCCTAATCACAGAGCAAAGGTGTGGGAGGGGGAGGGCAGAGAGCACGCCCTGTCTGTTTCTGCTCTCTGTTCTGCTGCTACAGTTTCTCTGAATAATGCTTTTCTGATTGTAAATCATGACAAAATGAATATTTGAGAAGCTACTCCTAGGCTGTGACTAGGCTGGACTATCCAAATACCAAGGACTGATATTATTGGGAATTTTGAATATTGTAGATTTTTTTTGAGGAGGAGGGTATTCATTCAGGTTTTCTGTACCCTTTCTAATAATTGCTTTGAGTATATTTTTTCCTATATGGGTTTTTTTTCTTCTCTTTAAAATCACTACATTGATAAATAAAATCTAACCCTTTCTATACTGTCTCCACTTCCACTAAGCTTTACATCTATTTTAACATATTTATTATATTTGATTAAACATTAAACTGGACTTTAAAGTAATAATTCAAAACCTCTCCTAGGCCAAGTTTTGTTTTTTAAAAAGTATGCCCCTTAAGTTATTAATAGTTTTTAAAATAAGATTTGTGTATACTGTATGAAAGTCTATATATATAAAGTAATATTCAAAGATAAGGATTTTTGGGGAAACCCTGTTGTAGATGAAGATTGTTTTACTTCATCCCCTTATCTCTATTAAGAAAAACATGCAAAATATTTTGTTAACCACAAGTCAGTGTTTATAAAAAAAAAAAAAAAAGGGAACTATGTTGAGTACAGCCAAAGGGGCAGGGTGTGAGTACCACAAAGTTTCAAGTGTGATTCTGATAACCCACAGTAACAGGAGCTGAGACATAGTTATAACGCATGATAACAATGTATCTGCATAAGACTGAGCAGGCAACCTGGCAGAAGTGATAAAATAGGAACAGATTCATAAAGAAGGTAAGAATTCAAATTAAGCTTTTATGAAAATTTGTATTTAAAGACGCTTCAGAGAGAAACACGTATAGGATTTGTGTGGGAGATGTTAACACTTTGGCTTATTGTGGTTTGGGCTTAGCATGGGACAGAAGTTGAATCTCAATGGAAAATAATGAAAGCCAAGAGTGGGGTTTTATTTGGTAAGCCAAGATCCATGCTAGGTTTTAGCTGAGAAAGGTATGATGAGATTAATTCATTTGTAAGAACATTCTGGAGTGCATGTACAGGATAAATGTATGTGGAAAAGACACAAGGGGACTAAACCCAGTCCAATAGTTTTTGAAATAGTCAAGGTATGAGACAATTTGAGCCTGTACTTGGAAGGAAAGAGCAGATTCGAGCCAATATAGATAGTACTTCGACTGTCCAGTATGGAACTTGAAGACCTGTCTGTAGTAACCAGGCTGCTTCCTGGCATTCCAGTTCTGAGAGACTCCTATTCTGACTTAAAACAAAGGCAATGCTATGTTGACATCTTTCCATTTGTTCCCCTTGTGAGATTTTTTTGGTTTTTTTTTTCCCCCCAGTACTGGGGCCTCTAGCCTTGTGAGAATTTAATGAAATCACATTTATTAAAAATACATTATTTTTGTGAGCTGTTGATGTAGCTCAGTGGTAGAGCACTTTCCTAGCATGAGAAAGGACCTGGGTTCAAACCACAGCACTGAAAAAAATTTTTTTCTCACTGTCACCTTAAGGTATTCAGATTTCAGTTTCCCACTAACCTGGCAAGGGAATTGACACCTCTTGCAAGTAAACACAGTGAACTCTTAGCTGATTTTCTTCATTCATTTGGCTGTATCATAATTAAAAGCAAATATGGAGCAAAAAAAACACAAGGAAACTTAAAAAAACTTGTGTGTCATGTGCCAAAATCAGTGTAGGATATTTGCAGATAATCAAATGCCACTTAGGCTGGACAGACCTATGGACTAGGAAGACTGGAAAATAAGAAACAGTTTAGATAATACTGTGGGAAGAATATCTACATGCATAGACCGCTCTGGGCAGGAGACAATATGGGACTTAGGTCACAATATGACCTAAGTCAGAATCAGGCTTCCGGGTTGCCTTTGCTCTTAGGACACTTCACATGGACTCCCTCATAATATTACAGTATGGGGACATCTAATTGTCTCAGTTATTTATATTTATGTATACACATACATATGTTTTTAACAATTTTAGGTCCCCTATTAAAATTTTCTCTTTGTCATTGATTTTATAAATTAGAAATACTTTGTTTGCATTGGTACTTATTCAGTTATACTTTTATAGCACAGATTTCTCCAAAACACTTTCTGTGAACTGTCTTACATCTTGGTTTTCACCAGGGGTACTTGGAAATACTTGTGTTCAATACCTAGGAATTAAATTGAGTGCTACCACTAGTGCTGCTGCTAGGTTCCATCATGGGGATATGGATTCAGGCTCCTATATCAGCATTTGATTTGCCAGCTCTGCTATTGTCTGTGTGACTTTAGATTCTTTTACTGTCTCCTTAGTTGTTTCGTCCTTTGTAAACTGAGGAGGATAAAAGTTTCTACCTCATCGGGTAGAGGGTAAGTCAAGTGAAAGAATCCATATATAGGGCTCAGAACAAAGTGCATTGCACAAAGCATTCTCAATAAATATTTGTCAACATTGCTAACCTCATTTATACATGGGCAGAATGAAGTGTAAAGAGAATAAGTAGCTTACTGAGATTTACACAAATGGTAGACTGAACTTTTTTTTTTCCCTAGCACTGGGGATTGAAACCAGGACCTTGTGCATACTAGGCAAACACTCTACCACTTGAACTACATCCCCAAGGACACTACATCCCCAAGTTATGCTACTTCTGAAGCATAACTCCTCCAGGAGCCTTTAAAATACTTAGGGTTGAGCCAGGTGACAGTGGCTCATACCTATAATCCTAGCTACTTGGGAGACAGAGATCAGAAATGTGGTTTGAAGCAGCTAGGGTAAATAGTTTGCAAGACTCTCTCAAAACAGGGCTGGCAGAGTGGATCAAGTGGTAGAGCACTTGCCTAGCAAGCATGAGGCCCTAAATTCCAACCCCAGTGCTACCAAAAAAAAAAAAAAAACAGGGTTATAATTGTTCTGCCTTCTAGAAAAATGGAAGAACTGCCTTTTTCTTTTGCCAGTTTTACAAAAACAAGCATGCGAACACATTGCTAGGGTTCTCCCAAGACCTTAGAAGGGGCCCATCCAGGTTAGGGGCACAGAAATTTAAGCTGCGTTAACTCCACAGTAAACTCCCTTTTGTCCATTTTTGCTTTGTCTAAACATTATCATATTCATTCTTCTCATCCAAATTTGTTTTTGCTTTAACGCTCAGAAAGTCTTGTTATCTCTGGGTCTTTAGACCTGCAAAACTCAACATAAGCAGATCCCTCCATGTTGCTGTGGGCAGATGGTTGATTGCGCTAGTGGATACTAAATAGACCAGACAGCACAAGTCTCTGAAGTATCACTTCCACAATTCCAGATTAGTGGTCCCTCTAGGAGGAAGGAAGAGGGCCCTGAAGAGTCTAGGAGTGGAGCAGGAGACCCAGTGGACAGTATTCAGCTGAACATCAAATCCAGATATCTGGTGATGTGCCGCAGGGAGTAAATAAGAAGGAGAATGTACACCACGGACAAAATGTTCCCCGTTCCATAGAATGAAGGACACCTCATCACTACAGCCTCCTTGTGAAAAGATAAGCCCCAAAGCTTCAGCCTGTTCCAGATGTTGTAACATGTGTGCACCTCTTTCTACCTTCATATCCTGGTTACTTGTCCATTTTCACCCAGCCTGTGGGTCCGGAGTCCAGAACATTCTGGGTCTGAGAAGGATACTAGAATACCCATCTGTCCCCACAAAGAGAAGAGTCTTAGTTCTGCATCTGGTCAGAATTTTAAATCCCCATTGAACAAAGGAACAACTGGTGCTCCTCCTCCCTGTAGAGGAGCTGGGTGGCTCAAGTCTGAGGGAGCCCTGGCTGCTTCAGAAAAGAGGAACCTGTGATTTCTTTTTTAATTTTTTTTTTTTTTTTTTAGATGGAGTTTCACCATGTTACCCAGGCTGGTCTTGAAATCTGCCTCAAAAGATTTTCCCAAGAACTGGGGCAACAGGTGCTGCCAGCACCCTGGCTGTGATTTATTACCAATGCAGCCCTACTCAGTCTTCATTCCAGTCTCCCCACCCTTCCCAAGTGTTCACACATTTTTATAAGCAGCTAGCTGTATAGACAGTACTCAAGTTGTCCCCTAGTTACCCTCCTGCCCCTCCCCCAAGGAAGGCCCTGAACTGCTTGCAGGAAATCTCCAGGTATCACTGCTGCCCATTGTGTCCCTAAAACACAGCACAACCAGACCCAGCCTGCCCCCATCCCAACTCCACAGTAGCAGCCCAGTATCACCCCTGCTCCCTGCACTGTGAGTTACAGAGCTTGATTAGTAGGAAGTACAGGTGACCAAAGGCTTAAGCCAGAGATCCGAGGGAGAGCAAGACAGCGGTGAGAGTGATTGGAGCTGGACATCAATTTTTAAGGGAAGGGTTTCATGCCTGAAATTCAGGCACCTGAGGGTGGGGCTTAGGAATCCCGTGCCCATAGAATTGCTCAGAGGGACCCTGGCCAGACACAAGATCTTTGGAGATTCAAAGATCTGAGGTATAGTACTTTTTTTCCCACCTCCACAAACAGTATTCACTTGTAAAAAGGTCTGGTATGACAAGGAGTTGGATTTTATCTGTGGTAAATGGATATCCACATGCAAAAGAATCAGATTGAGCTGAGTGTGGTAGTGCACACCTGTAACGAATGTGGTAGTGCACACCTGTAATCTGAGCTACTGCGGTGGAGGCAGTAGGATTGTGAGTTTGAGGCCAGTCCCAGGCAAAGTTAACAAGACCCTGTCTCAAAAACAAAATAAAGACAAAAAGGCTGGGTCATAGCTCAAGTGGTAGAGCTCTTACCTAGCAAGCATAAAGCCCTGGGTTCAATTCCCAGAACTGCCAAAGAAAACATAAAGAGATTGGACCCTTTATTTCATACCACACACAAAAATCAACCAAAATGAATAAAAGACCTAAACTTAAGTGATTAAAGACTTAAGATCTGAAACATAAAACTACAAGAAAATGAAAAGTCTTCCTGCTATTGGTCCTGGCAATGATTTCACCGATTTGACCCCAAAAACAAAAATAAACAAATAGGACTACCTCAAACTAAAAAGCCTTGAGTATACAGTAAGATCTTGTCTCAAAAGACAAAAAACAATGGAGTGAAAACAAAATCTGAAATGGGAGAAAATATTTGCATATCTGATAAACAAGTTAATTGTGACAAATAAGAACTCAGTGTCAAGAAGAACAGTAACCTGGGGCTGAATATGTACCTCAAGTGGTAGAGCATCTGCAAGGCACTGATTTCAAACCCAGTACCGCCAAAAAAAGAGAGC